GGTCGACTAGAGAGGACTGATTTTCCTCTACTGGCCGAACCCTTCTTCTTCTCCTCTTCTTCTTCTTCTTCTTCTCCTTCTTCTCTATTGTAACCGAGGACTAAATAAGGTTTTCACACATTTCTTTCTTCTCCCCCTCAAGAAAGAGAAAACTTGCCTATTCCAACAATATAAAAAAAATAAAAAACTGTATAAATTAATGTAAACATGTTTGAAAAGTAGAGGAAGATAGGAAGAAGAGAAAAAGAGAAGAACAAAGGGAGTTGGAGAGAAAAATAGATTTGGGGGTTTATGGGTTCCTCACTCACGTTTATACTCAGGAACTCATAAAAGAGAAATTACAGCAAAGCCCCTAACCTGTAGTCATGTGACATCTTAAAAAAACAAGACAAAAGAATAGCCCAATTAGGTAAGCCCAATAAGAATACAAAAGATAAGTAAAAACAGGCCCACTATCTGTCAACACTCCCCCTCAAGTTGGGATTCTTGGGAATAGATGTCCATCAAGTTGGAAAAATGTTGACATTTCAAGGAAAATTTTCCAAATATCATCAGTATTAGGGAACATTCTCAAAACCTTTTTATCATTGTCTATCTGGTGTGGACAAATTACATGCAACACTTCCAAGTGTACAACAATAAGCACAAGAAATATCAAATTGAAAACAACAAACCAAGTCGGATTTTCAAGGATTTCAGACCTGAACCTGAAGTAGAACTCCTCCTGGAACAGTTCTGCTACAATAATAACGGCAACAAGCTGGCATCCCATGCAGACACGTAGTCAAGAGGGATTGGAAGGTGCCAAAATGGGTTGACTCCTCAAAACCCAAACTCTCAATACTTGAAAACCCTAGCTGGGGCTGAGCTACAACTCAAACGACAGATAGAGAGAGAGAGAGAGAACCAAAATGAGCCCTACAGAAACAACCCCCTTCTCTTTTATAAGACTCAATGGCTTGTTAGAGAAGCCAATTAAAATATTTACGAATGAGCCCCTAGAATGTTTCCCTTTCTCAAAACAACTCCTTGAGAACAAAGCTAACTTCAAACAAACCCCCAAAAGATAAATTTTGTTACAAAGACCTAGGAGACCAAAACTTAACAGATGTGCACCCAACTGCCCCTGACCAGAATCTGAATTATAAAATGACAAAACCCTTGGACCCAAACTGTCAACAAAGCTACCCAAAAACAACAATTTGGGGTCCTACTACAAAAAACATTCAAAACAGAATACATTCACTTTTTTTTTCTTTTTTTCTTTCTTTCTTTTTTTTTTTTTTGGCCTCATCATTGTCTTAATGCTTAGGTTGTGATTTAAAAGGTGCACCTCATCCCTTTCAAAAGGTGTGTGCCTTACGCCTCAGCCCAGGTGTGCGCCTTTTGAAAATTTGACGCTTTTTTGCTTTTTTCGTGTCTAGCGGCTGGGCCGGGGGCTCCGCCCCCAGACCCCCGTGCCACGCCCCTCAAGGCAAGCCCAAACAAGTCCACATTAGGTCTTAAATTCTTAGTTCTCACACAAAAATAACGATTTTATAGTTTTAATTGCTTTTTAAGAAGATATTTTATTAGGATGAATGAATGAACAACATTACCAAATAGGGGATTCTCAAAGCTTTGGTTTTCGCTCGCTCACCGAAGCTTCGAGAACCCCCTATTTGATAATTTTGTTCATTCATTTCTTGTAATTTCTTAAGTGAGAAGGTTTGGTTTCTATAACTTTCTGTGCCACATCAGCCAAGGTGGCCAGTTGTCAGCCACTTGTTGATTCTTACACTGTTCTTGTAATTTGTCTTGGTAACTTGGGTTGGTCATGGGACTGGGCTGACTCTGTTTTGATTCAAGATGGATTAAACTGGGTCTGTGGCAGTTGGCATTGTCTATGCTTTTACACATGAAATATAAATGTCTTAAGAGCGCTACAAGAACTAATAGAAGGCCTAAAGCAAAAGTGAAATGGGTACCACAACTGCTAATGTTCTAGCAGATGGATTGACAAAGCAAGGGGCATCAAGGGATCAACTGTTTCGTTCAATTAATTTGCATGTGGAATTTAATATTTTAAGACCTTCTAAGATGAGTTTAGTGAGATAGCAATGTGAGGATATAGAAAGAAAGACTATGGAGGTGCTCACTACTCACTCTTGTCTTTAATCTTTATGACTATTATCTTTTATCTTCCATGTGCAACTGATTTATTGTTCTGCAGCTACGATCGAATTCAACCAGATACTTGGAGTGGAGCATATCTTTGCTGGGGAAAAGAAAATAGGGAAGCTCCACTGAGGACTGCATGCCCACCCGGAGTATCAGATGGACTTGTAAGCAATTTTGAGATTAAATCCTTTGATGGGTGTGCAAATCCACACTTGGGCTTGGCTTCTATAGTTGCTGCTGGGATTGATGGCCTCCGTAGACATCTTCGCTTACCTGAACCTGTTGGTATGATTTTTGACAATATATTATTCAATTCCCCATTTATATTGATATAAGATGGCCATCTCAGCCTCCAAACAATTTTCAAAGTTCTCATGGTTAACTATAGACATTCACTTTGAAGTTGACTTAACAAGTTCATTCAACAACATTATTTTCTTCTTTACAAGTACTTGGTGAGCATACCTAGATAATCTAAGACTTATGTCCTTTTGGTACCTAGAAGTTATAAAACCTGGATACATGATAGTCATGTCATGTTTCTAAGACTCAGACCAGACCGGATAGTTGGACTGTGAAAACCAGGAACCAGCAACCATTCTGTTTTTTCTTTTTTTACCACCAACTGGAAAACAGAATTTTATTACAGAAAAAACATAGCAGTACAACAAAGAGGTTGCAGCTTTACGTTACAAATATATTGTGAACATAGCCCCTGCCATTTTGGTTTGTTTTAGAACACTAGTTTTTCAAATTTCTGAAAAACTGGCTGACTCATCAGAAACCCGTGAAAGCTGTTGAAACTGTCTAGGTTTCAACAACCCATCCAGTTTTCAATGACCCACCAGGGTCACTGATTTATCACAAGCCATAGAATAATGATAACAAGATTTGAGCATGTGATCTCTTCCCCATGTAAAATAATACACTGTTGATCCATCATGCTATTTACATTTGATTTTGTCTCCTTAATATCTATATTAATAAAACATATATATATATATATGAAAGACTTGAACCCTGGTCACTTGTATTGAACCAAGAAAAAAACTAACAACAAATTGTAATATGTTATAATATGCATAATAGTTTATACTTTATATATGATGTCATGAGTCATTGCATTGACTCAGCGGTTGGACTGTCTGACCTGTGATCTGGTAGCCTTTTTAGTTTTATACATTGGTATTTAGAAACTTTTATATGATTGAAGTGTATATTGAGATTATATTCATTTAACAAGCCAGGACAGAGATGACAAAAAACTCAAAAAGTTCCCTTTCCTGTGCATTCTTCATGTTGAATGAAGAAGTATGAACCAAAAACTATTATTTTATACAGTTCAAGATTCTAGTTATGATTCCCTGTTGAAGCTTTTTATGTACTGGGGAAAGCCATATATGAAGTCTTGCAAGTGATGCCAAACCATGTGGGCTCTCCATATAATCTTTATAGAGATTTTAATGGTTATTTTTCAGAATGGGTCATTGTTGCTTCATTCAACTTAACATGATCCTTTTACTACTAAGAGGATATTTAAGAAACCAATACTCAACCTGATACTTTGGCAATACTATTCTATTGGACAGAAACAAATCCTTCTAGTCTTTCTGAAAGTATTGAAAGACTGCCAAAAGAACTTTCTGAATCTGTAGAAGCTCTTGAGAAAGATGAGGTTATGAAGAATTTAATTGGTGAAAATCTTCTGAAAGCTGTAATTGGTGTCCGTAAGGTAAGTTATATTCCAGATGCTTTCTACATGTTTGTCAATGAATGAAGCAAAAAGTATTGATGCATTGAAGCAAAAACGTAACATCTTAGTTATGGCAAATTAATAAGAGAGCCTATTTATGAATTATGATACCCACTCAAGCTAATTGACCCATTTTAGTTGTGAGAGTAGCAAGATACATGACGTGATTTGATTTCTCTGAAGCCTGAGAACATCATGCAAACTCTTTATATTGATATAAAAACATGCTCAATGAACCCTAAGTTTCTTACAGGAGGCATGGGCATACCAATTTTTCTTTTTCTTTTGTCTTTGGTTGGTAACTTGATTGTATTGTAACTAGATAAAAAGCATACAAAAGATGGCAATGAAGCAATAAACAGTGATTGCATAAAAGAATTCACATGGACGTAGAACAACATAATCAAAGAACAAAATAGAATGCCATGAAATCAACCACTTCCCTCTCCACCCTTGGAAACAAAACACACTGCCCCCTCCCTACCAACCCAAAACATCACAAGAGGTTGACCCTTACACATCCCCGCTACTTCTTAAAATAGACTCAGCAATAAATCAATTCACTTCTATTATTTTACATAATACTTACATCAATCTTTCTCCCCTACCATCCTTAGAGGTTTTCCATCTAGTTGGTGGAGCTGCTCATTCCTTGTCAATTATTTTTTTTTGGAAAAGGTAAAGTAATATTTATTGAGAAGGAATTACTCACAGGAGGCTGAGATCAGACCCAGAACAGGCTGACTGATCTAATCAGCAATTACACAATCAATCAAGAGATAGAAAATAATACATCTGACACATTACAGTTTCTAAAATCTGCAGCCACAGACAACCAAGAAATCAGCTTGCCCACTGACTTCTGAATTAAATCTTCCAGACTTAGAAACTTGTTACTGAAAACCCGTCTATTCCTCTCAGTCCAGATGCACCAAATTACAGCAATTGGAATCATCTTCCAGATAGTCTTCTTTTTCTTGCTCAGACCCATAATCTGCCAGCAACACAACAGCTCTTTTACTGACCTCGGCATCACCTAACAAACCTTCAAAGAGTCGAGGAAATGGTTCCACAACTGAGCAGAAAACGGGCAGTGGATGCACAAATGATCAGTGGATTCAGCACTGCTCCCACATAAACTGCAAGTCAAGTCCGAAACCTGAATTCCCCTTCTCACAAGGTTCTCCTTAGAAAGACATTTATTAAGAGCCATAATCCAAACTATGAAGCTGGCTTTAGTCGGGCTGTTGGGATTCCACACTTGCCGAAGTGGGAAATCAGGAGCACCCCTCCTACCAAGAATAGCAGCCAAAGATTTAACAGAAAACATCCCATCGGAATTCCACTTCCAATGCCACTTATCCTCCGAACTATAATCCAACTCTTGGCTTTGAAGACAGGTCAAGAGATTCACAACCTCTGCCACCTCCCAATCAAAATGATTCCTAGAGTCCAAAGAACTGAACCACCAGAAATACTATAACACTCTGCAACTGAGGCCTCTTGATCTGAAGCACACTGGAAGAGGAGTGGGAAGGACTCAGCAAGAGGATCATCTGAGCACCAAGGGTCCTTCCAAAATTTGGTCCTGTTACCATTACCAACCCTAATTGAGACCCCGTAGCCAGAGCTGAAAATTCTTCATTATCCCTTTCCACAGAGAGCTACCCCAGATGGGGGGAGGGTCCCTAGTTCTCCAAATGCCCCAACTCACACCATATTTGCTGGCAATGAGAGATCTCCACCAAGCATCAGTTTCTACAGCAAATCTCCAAATCCATTTACAGAGGAGAGCAGAATTAAAAGAATTCAGCTTCCTAATACCTAACCCCCTTCAATTTTGGGAAGACAGACTTTCTCCCAACTCACCAAGTGCACTTTTATCTCCTCCTCCCAGCCTCTCCAATGAAAACTCCTTTGAAGCTTTCCAATCTGATTTGCAACCTTCTTAGGAATATGGAATATTTCACTATTGAAATTTGAACTGTTCTCATTCATATCCCATTTGAACAAGTTCGAAGCTTCCTCAGAGATGTTAGCACCTACTTCAACTATCTAATCCTTTCCGCCCTTTGGTTCCAGGCGATTTCCTCAGAGATATTCTCATTCATTGCTTCCTTTCTTCCAGCATTCTAAAATATTCAATTTCCCTTGCATCACCTTGTTGGTAATAGTGGACATGGGTAAAAATTAGTGGAATGGGTCTTATGCAAGGCTATATTTAATACCCCTGTCAGTAATAGTCTCCTCATTCTTCTAAATTGACACAGGACAGCCTCCCTGCCTACCACCCTTATTTTCCATTGGAGGCCTATAAAATGCTTTGTTCATTCATCTGCATTATTTTTTCCTTCATGGACTATACTTGATCTCTACTGATGAACTATGTGGCAAACTAATGCAACCAACTTTTATATCCATGTTCAATGCTCATGACTACAAAGAAACCAAAAATCACCACTTCCAAATTTTAACCCTTTTTTCCCGAGGATTATAATTTTGATGAAATTTTCAAAATTGTGAGGTTTTGTTCTTGTTTCAGGAGTGACCAGAACAAAATATATGAAAATAAAAGTTCCTACATTTTTGGTCTATAATGTACATAATATACACAGACATTTTGAGAAAGGAAAAGAAGTAAACTCATATGCTCTCCAAAGCACTTTGGATCACAGTGATCCTCACTCCAAATGAAAAAGTGCCTCTTCCACTCTGCAAGACTTCTATCTCTTTCAGTCACCAATCTTAGGATTGCTCAGAGAACTGTCTAATGCCCAGAGAAAACCAAGATATGAACAAGTAAAAGAACCCATAGAAAACCCCAAATGGTGATGAGAAAGGAAAAGAACCCACAAAACCCCTTGATCTTTGAGTGGTTAAAGAAATTTCATTTTTTTCTGACGAGAAATAGTGAACATTGACTTATAGGGAAAATCATCTTTTGAAGGAATCTCTCTTCTCACACAAGAAATTATTCAATGGTAAAATCATAAATTTAAAATATTAACTGAATAAAAATATATTGTCCAGCTTTTTCTATTATTTTACTGCCTACCATGATTTCTTGTGGGGGGTAAAATGGAATCATATTTCCGAATATGCATAAAAAGAAAGGAAATGAACATTTAGAAAATATGAGAATGTCATAACTCTATAGTAATTTGTGCCCTTTTTGTATATTCATTCACATTGATTAGTGAATTACAACCTTGACCACAATTTGAACAAGAGTAGATCACTGGTGAAGATCACATGATTCAATAAAACTATTTCCTAACCATTTTATGCACAAAATTTGTGTTAAGAAAACACAATGGTAACTATGCACTATTAAAATAAAATACAATTAGAAATTTAGTCAAAGAGGATTGAGGACTATGACATGCAAATGACACTGGATTCTGAATATGCTGAAAAGGCACCCCTGGATCATGAAATCATTACATCTTCATTGCATGATAAACAAAACTCTCCATGTCAGTAAAACCATCTAATAATTTATCATTGTGCAAGTGTGCAACAATTAAAATAAAAGGCAATATAATAGAGAACTTTTTATTTAAAAAACTAGGTCTTTTGACCAATCAAATGTGTGATATGATGCTTGACATGATGCTTTATTTTTTCAGGCAGAGATTGACTACTATTCCAAGAATAAGGATGCTTTCAAGCAACTTATACATCAATACTAGTGAGCTAAGATTATTCAAATGGGTTGGTAAGAACAAGTTTCCATAATTCAATATTTGCTATCTGCATTAGGGCCAAGTTCCTTTGGCTAAGCATGTATATGGGTAATGTTGCTACTGAATTCTTTGCTTAGGGAAGATGCTTTTGTTTTAAATTTCCAGAGAGAGAGAGAGAGGAGGGAGGGAGGGAGTTGTGGAGGAGGGCATTGGCCGCATCTTGATGATAGGGAAATCCAGGAAAGTGAAAGGGTAGGAGTACCAGAGGAGGATTTCTTGCACCAGTGCCCTGTTGGCATATTTGTGTTCACTAATCCAACTTTAGAGGACATTAGGGCTGTTCATAAGAAGACCCAACCCGACCAACCCGGACCGACCCAACCCGAGTCGGCCGGGTTTTCTTCAGCACCGGTCGGTTTCGGGTTGTAAAAAATCATAAACCAATGGTTCGGGTCGGTTTCGGTTTTCATGTGTGAAAACCGAAACCAACCCGAACCGAACCGACTTAGTAGTTAGTTCCTAGTTAGTAGTTACAACCTACTTAGTTCCTACTTAACTAAGTTGTCTCTATCCTACTTACAACCTAACTTAATTTCTAGTATTCTAGTTAGGAATGACATTAATGGTAAGTATTGTAAAACAACTAGACAAGGAATTTTTTTGGAAAAGTTTAAAGAAAATAATCAAACGATCCTAGTTTCTATGGTCTTTTACACCAAATAGGTAACCAATTACAATTAGAATTAGGTGTCCTTTTTTACTTAGATTAGAAGGTTTCTTAAAATATACAAATTTCAGTCTTCTTTCTCTAATACAGTTTGACTTTCTATTTTCTTGATAACTTCTATTCTAACTTGGTCCGCGCCCCCCTTAGCCCCTCAACTCAAGCACAATCTCTAATACAATTTGACTCTCAAGAATCAAAATTTTGAAATTTCAATTTATTACCATGGTTGAACTTAGAGCCGAAACCGACCCAACCCAACTCAAACCGACCAGGTTGGTTTTGCTTAACACAGGGTCGGTTTTGGTTTCAATTTCAGGTAACCCGACCAGGTTGGGTCGGTTGGAAAAATCTCAGTAAACCAACCCAACCCGACCCATGAACAGCCCTAGAGGACATGGATAGGGTTGGTAATCTCTCCTTGGTCATGGTGTGAAAATTTGGTGGTGGTCTCTTCCCTTTCAATTTTCACTCTAAGAAGGATGCTTTGCAATGCCTGCATAGATGTGAAAAGTCGTTTATTGGCTGACATCTTATACAAAATCTCTGGGTTCCTTGTCTTTTAGGAACCAGTTCATTTCTGCAAATTGGTGGACACAAGTTTTTGAAGTACCTCTCCATGTTTGGTGCAAAGCAACTTGATTGCAACAAATAATGCCTTGGCAGAGTTCATTGTGATGCATGGTCAAATATTGAACTGAAGCCATCTTGACTAGGTTCATTCTCTTGTTCATGGGGGATGAACAACTTTCTGAAGCTATTCCATATGGGGAAGATGAAGATGGAGATGTAATGTTTGCTATGATGCTTGATATATTTGAAAAAGCAAGTATATTGTATTTCAAAACTATGAACACCCCCATAGCAAGGTGCTATAGGGGAGCCAAAAATGACCATATAAGCCTTTACAGTGTTCAGTCCGATCTTAAAAAAACCTAATATTTAACCCTTTTAATATCTTTATGAACGCCCAGCCCCTAAGGTTCCCTTCACTCTTTTTAGTATGATCTCTAAATTTGCTTTTTTGTTTTCAAAAGCTCTGTAGTTTCTTTCAATCCAGAACTGCCACATAAAAGCTAAGGGGACCATCTCCCAAAGTCTGACATAAAATATGAGGGGAAACGGGAAACCTAATTAACCCCAAATAGGCCCAAGATAAATTCCCATACTTGTCTGCTGAAATTACATTGCACAAAAAAGACAATTGCAAGTTTCCACTTCTCTTTCACACATACACATGTGAAGTTTTGAATGTATCTTTGGTCAAGCACTTTTTCAACGGTTCATTGATAATCACGTTTTTCAATGGTACAGAAATTTTCAAATGGTTCGTTGTGAAACTCCATCGATGAGGTTTACACTGCAAACAAACACGGCCTTAGGTACTTTCTCTCTGTCACATACATGGAGTGCACTAGTATTGGGTGAATATAATCATCTTTTATCCATGTTAAACACTGATTATTGATTATTATTGCCTTGATCTGCTGGTGTTCCATCAGCATGTTAGTAGTAGTAGTAGGAGTACGTGAGACATATAAAAGCAATCCGTTGGTCGATAAATATAAAACTCCGTCTCTGATTCTCTGATTAGCATCAATAGAAATCATTTTTGTTGAGCAGATAGAGGTAATACAGAAGACAAGGAAACAGGAGACATCACTGCATATTGCTCTAAAATTTGCAAACTTTCATCCTTAAATAAATGATGAACAGTTACCTCATAAGGCCTGATATATTGGCTTGACAGTTGAAGCCTTTCTGTGTGAAAAAACAATTAGAGGCAATCTTGATTCATAAGTAGCAATGTTGTAAGGCTCAGACCAATAAATAGTTAAATACAAATGATGTTGTGGTTTAGTGGTAATATGTAGTTCTTCACTTCTTTGTAAATAGGAGTCTGTGAGTTGACATGGGTGGTTCCGGGTTGATAGCATGAAAGGTGGTTTTTGGGAAAAAACAAGAAATTAGGGTTTAAAAAAATCGGATCTTCCTTGCAATGTTTTTTGCTTCATTTCTTTTTCTATAGGCCATTTCTTGGGGTAAAATTTTGGTTGTTGGGAGCCAACAGCCTCTGATATTGAGAAACATTTTTGGGAATGACACATTGCCATAGAGTGGGATAAAATAGTAATTGCTCCCTATTTCTTTTTAACTAAACATAGACACGGGTGTGAATTAGTGAACATGTCCAGCCTAAACCACTCTCAATAGCATACACCGTTGCCCCCAACATCCATAGTTAACTCATTTCTTGACTCAATGGGTTTGAGTCTGAGTTCTGCCAAAGATTACGTTCATATCCAATCTACACCGTCCAAGGAGCCCGGATCTGTTTCCAACAAAACATGTTTTAATGCGCTTCCAATACGAGTTATAACCGCACATCTCAAAAATGTTCTGTACTCGTTGATGGGGTCATACAAAACGTGTTTGAGATGTTCGGCTATAAATCATGTTGGAAGCATGTGTGAACATATTTTGTTGGGAGCAGATCCCAACTCCCATTCAAAGGCCAAAGATAGCCAGAACGGTGCCTAGTCTCTTTTAGATTTTAATTAAATTTTACATTTCTTTTGCAACTTAATGCATTCTAGTTTCGGAAATGGCAAAATGATGGTTTTCAAACCTCCAAACACACACGGAGGAGGCTCCTTCAATGAACCAACTCCCGACTCAAGCTCCAGGAATGTTGCATCGAAATCTCATTAATAGAGCACGTTTCATCGTGGTATTCTCCTATGTCCTCATCGTTGTCGTGGAGTGCTCAAATCCTCAGGTTTAATTCAATTCAAAATCTCTAATCTTTCGTCTCTTTTGCGTAGCAGACAACTATAACTGTAAGCCCTTCTGATTGGATTTTGGGTTTCTTTCTAAAGTTTTGATTTCACCATTAGTGAAAGGTTTCGGTCATAGAATTTTAGCTGCTGGAATTCGATACGATAAGTTCTGTGGAGTGTGGAGTAGGGTGGACGGGTTGTCCTGGAGAAAAGCCATGCGATAATCTTGATGCGTGTTGTAAGACTCGCAATCATAGTTTTCAAAAACTGGACCGGACTGGGTGGTCGGACAGTTCAAACTGGGAACCGGTCATGTCTCTGGGTCACTTTGGATTGATAATTCTCAAAAAAAAAATATTGAAATGGTCAAAGAACCGCTGACCCATGTGATCAAACCACTAAACCGTTCAACCTGGGCAGCGGTTTTTATTTAACTTTTGTGAAGTGTAAATAAAGGAAATCTCAAATATGAGATAGAGATATCAGTTCCCAAATCTGAGATCACTGCAATGATAAGAGAGAGAGAGACAGATCTCATATCTGGGATCTGGTAGATCTGAGATGAGATCTGAGGCCGGATTTGCTGTCGCTAGCTCGCCGCTGCTATCTTGTACTGCCACGGTGCCACCACCACTGTTGTTGTCATCACGGTGAACCACCACCACCACCTCCTCCTTACTTTCTTCTTTCTTTTCTTTCCTTTATTTTCCCTTTCCTTCCTCTTTTTCCTTTACTTTCCCAGGTGACATACCTCTTCTCTGTTTATATTTCTTCCTAACCTGACCTAATATGCTAATTCAATGGTCAAGGTGCAAAAGTTACCTTAACCGTTTTGACCCATTTGACCTAAACAGTCGAAACTGTTGACCCAAAAACTGATGGCCAAAGTGATGTCCGGGTCAACCGTGTTCACAATGAATGTCGAGAAGAAAGGTAACAGAAAAACAAAGAGGAAATTAATTTCTATTTAATTCATTTTATGTTTTGTTCAAAGAGATCGACGCCTTATATGCTCATAAATATATCTAGATTCTGCTTTTGCATTTTGAATTTTTCATTTTGTACTTCTAGCTGCATTCTGTCTGATTCAGTTTCTCCTGCTTGCATGACCTCTTGGACATTGAACATTTGATTTCAATATAAAACTGGACAAATCTCGATGGCTACAGAATTTGTCTGAGTAAACAAATCAACAATATTAAGAAATGCGTACCCCAATATTGTACCAGGGGTGTATTCAAAGTATGCTATGCTGAATCACTCTCTACCACAGTACCAGTCATCTTGCACAACAATGTTGTTTCAATCATAATGTACATAATACCTTTCTTCTCTTTCTTGTTTCTTGTTGATGCAGAACCTTGTATTAGATGCTTTATCTTAGGGAGCTTGGGGCCCAACAAACCCATAAAACACACTAGGATAAATGGTAGTACTACACTAGATAAATAAATAAATAAAAGTGGCAATACCCAAGAAAGATAAGGAACCTAAGAGCTATTGCAGGGAAGAAGGAAGTCTTACAGTAAGGGGTTTAGGAGATCTAGCTGGTCCAAAAGTTGAAATTGTCACCACCACCTCTGAGCCATGTTATGACCTCAGTGATTATCTTTTCAATTCTGTTATTTTTCAATGACTGATCAGTCCAGGTCAGAATTTTGTAGCCCCACTGTACAGGGGTGAATCCTGACTGTGAATTGATGCCAAATTCACAGGCAATATGTGGTTTATAGGGAGTTACTAATAGACTATGGGGGGCTGTCATTCAGAATTCTGCATTGGTTGCAGATTACTTAATCCTAAGAAAAATGGTCTGAAATATTAGGCTTTGATTATACTGGAGAAAAGAAAAGGGTTTTATAAGATTTTGTGTATATTTTATCAAGCTCTTCTACTGAAGTTTCTCATGCATCCTTTTTGATAACTTCAATGGTTTGCTTTTTCATGATAAAAAAGTTGGTGTATGGTTATAAGCTAATCCTATGATTTGTACCTCTACAAGGTGGAGGCAAATGTATTTCTTTCTAAACCATGTTGTTTGAACTCTTTGCCGAGTTCTTCACCAAGTAAGCTATTTCTGGGTTAAAATTTGTTAAATTAGAAAAGTGTTGTAATAGTCAATGTTTTTAACCCGGTTGGTTGAATTGTTTGAACCATCACCCGGCCAAGATTCTGGGTCTGATTCATTTAAGACCCGCCAGACGGTCAAAAATGTTGATTTGGTTAAGAATCGTTCGACTCAGCCGGTTCAACTATTGACCCATTCGACTTGGTGACTAGGTTGCAGGTTGCACACTCAACGCATACAAAACTTTCAGAGGCCATAACTTTGCAATCTGATGTCTGATTATGGCGGTTTTTTTTATTTTGGGTAACTTTTCAAGATCTATGCATCCTAAGGAACCGAAGGTGCCTTGCCCCGTTATTTTTGCAAAAGAAAAAACCTTTTTATTCTCAAAATGCAATTTTTAATATTTTTTATAAATAAAACTGAATTAAAAAACATGAATTAAATATAAAATAATACATATAATATATGTATAATATATTTATACATTATTTATTGCTAAAATATATATTTATATATATACTTAATACATATATGCACTGACATGGCACAGTCTGAATTGTTCAACTCGGCTGGTCAAACTGGTGACTCATGACTTGGAGGCAAAAACGGTTTTACCTCCGAATCAGTTTTTAAAACATTGGTAATAGCTAATGTGGATATGATACAACATGGAGATTCTTTCTATGGATACGCAATTATGCATTAAAAAAAAAAAAACTATTGATATGCATGTAGAAAACATATTCCTTCATATATGGGTTTCTTAAAGGGAACCATATAAGCTAGCTAAATGCTCAAGCTGGACACCATCTAGAAGGAGTTTATTCACCTAGCTGTTATGGTTTTCCACTTAAGCAGAAGGGCTCGGTAGGAAGTTGTCATACCAAGATGGCCACACCTTTTCCCTTCAATTTAATTATATTAATCTAAGGTCCGTTTAGTTCATAGTTGGAATCGGAATCAGAATGGTTCATTCCCATAGTCTGTTTGGTTCAGATAGGAATAGGAATGGGAATTAAAATCAGAAGAAATGGGATTTCATTCCTGAGTGGCAGGGAATGGCCATTCCCTCAAATGGGGGAATGTCATTCCAGCAGGAATGGGAATGGGATTCTGATTCCACCCAACCAAACAGTTGGAATCGTAATAACCCATTCCGATTTCGATTCCAAACCCCTATTCCTTCAAACCAAACGGACTCTTAGTTGTGATTGCATATGTTACAAACCTAAAAAAAAAAAAAAGCAAAATAGATTGTCACCTTTTTCATGTAATTTCTTTTTTTTTTTTTAATTAAAACTAGAAGAGCTCGTATCAACAAAGTGGAAAGCTTCCTACTGTTAATTGAAATGAGAACACACTCCAAACCCTCAAGAAGATCCCAGAGAAATCCATCATATTCAGATGATCATGGCCTACACTTGAGAAATTAACCAAAGTGGAAAGCTTCTGGTAGAGTATAAGACCATCCAAGGTTTTATGAACTTTTCGAGGGTTTTCGGCATCAAAGGTGTCTATTCACTATTAAATTGAAACGATTATCTTAATCCTCAAAAACTGGGAAGCCATGTACAAGCTCATCTACTGTTTATCAAGGATGATCAATCGTACTTCCATTGAAGTTTCATCTGTTGCTCTCCATGTTTGAGCTAGTTCAGATAAAACATGCTAATTATCAACATCTACAAGCTTCTTAGATAAACTCTACCAGGGGGAAAGCAATGGAAAGTGATGAACCTTAGCATTGTGTTTGGTTTGAAGGAAAAAGTAGGAAAAGGAAAGGAACGTTGTATGGGTTTTCCTACCTTTCCCTACATTTTTCTTCAAACCAAACATAACCTAAAGGTTTGAAAATAGAAATCCTTACCTTGATTCTGGAGTGTTTCTCCCAGCGAATTAATTTTCCTTTCTTCAAATTTTCTGTTCTATCGACAAGTTGAGGATTCTTACCCAAATATTCCAAGTTTCAATAACCAGCCTATGCGGATCAACACCAGGTGACCATTTCTGAAGGAGTAAAGGGTAGTCCCAAATGAGTCAAGGACCTCTATTCAATAAAAGCTTTGACTTTGAGGTCAATTGAAAACTCGTGCAATAAGGCCAAGTTCGTATAACTTCCAAACCTTTGTGGAGACCCTCGAGTGTCCCATTGGAATGATCTATTTCTATAGTCTGTTTGGTTCAGACAGGAATGGGAATGAGAATTGGAATCAGTAGAAATGGAATTTCATTCCCAAAGAAAGGATAAGAAATGACCTTTCTCTCATATGGAGGAATACCATTCCAGTAGGAATGAAAATGAGATTCCAATTCTACTACCCAACCAAACAATTGGAATTAGAATAATCAATTTCAGACCCTCATTCCTGTGAACTAAGATGAGAAGAACGTGGGATAAGTCGCATGCAAGCAGGTGTCAAGCACACCGCATGGAAATCTCTTGGGGCATGGTCTCAGCTTTCTGGGCTTGAGAAAAGCTCCATACGTGTGGAATAAACAAGGATATTTCCACAACAAACAGCCTAATTTAAGTCTCTGTCAGCAGTCAGCACTCATTTGTTGGAATACGTGGAAGGAGAGAAATCAGCTAGAATTTTTCTTCAACAGGGAGGTCGCTCCAACGCAGGTGATGAACAGAATACTGATTAAGTCCAGGAAATGGATGTTCAGCCGAGGATCAACACGTTGTCCAGCTACTGGGTAAGGCACCCAGGTAGGTGTTTAACTGAACAACGATGCCGCTATGAACATCTCAGTAGGTAAATTAGGCTGGGGATGGTTATCAAAAGTTCAGGGGAAATTCAGGTTGAAGGTTCAAGATATTGGTGCTTAAAACGGCATGTTTTTATATTTGTTTTAGATTTTTTTTTTTTAATTTAATTTTTGGACTTATTTTTAACTATATTTTACATTAAACAGAGGTCAATTCTCGAAATACCTATAAATAGGTATATCGTAAAATGCCTGATACGAAATATATCATATCAAAATTTTAAAATCTCAGCAAACCAGGTTGTTACCATGTCCATTAGAGACCCCAAACTTGGCCAGCTTGTGAGTTGCCTGCTAATATTACATACTCGATGAACAAAAGACTGGATATCGTTCAGCGGAGCTTTGCATTCTGCAAAGAGAATTCTGACATGCTATTGGGGGCTTTGGATTCCCTGCACAAATAACTTTAGGGTCCATTTGGTTGATGGAAATAGGGGTCTAGAATTGAAATGACTTAATTCGATCGTTTGATTAAGTGGAATTGGAATTTGATTCTCATTCAAGTATTTTACTATTTGAGGATCGATTTTGATTGTCGTGTGAATCAAAACAAATCAAAGAGTAGACCATTCCAATTTCAATTCTAACTGTAAACCAAATGAATCCTTAATAATCTTATCTGCGTCTCCCTCTCCTTTGACAGTTCTTTTTTTTTTTCTTATTCTGCCAAATTAAAAGGAACCCAGACGGCCAGACCTGCTCCACGAGCACTCCACTCCCCATTTACATTGATTTCAATCCACTGATCCTCTGGCCTTTTCAAATAATCGTAAAGAAAAGATTGTGATGCCGGAAAAACATGTCCACCACCAGATTGGTTACCATTTTTTTATGATCTTGATCAATATTTGGTAGGTACGGTTGTCAAGTAGAAAATCTTCTATGATACACTGAACTACCCCGCAGCGAGCTACCTTACGCCGAACTGCTCTGCAGCGAGCTACCTTACACCGAGCTATTGGTGATACGTCGAGGTGCTTCTCCGAGGCGGGTCCCTAAGGTGTCCTTAGGCAGGAGCGAGCTTATGTTGGAGAACCGACGAGCTTAACCTGAGGTGTTTTTAGTTCGGGATTCTCCCTACTTGAAGAATCTTAGCCCGGGGTGCTTCTTACTCGGAGAGTCTTAACTCGGGGCAACGGAGTATCACCTTGTAGCAAGCTGCCGCTTTGGACAGGCTATCAGATTGGGTCAACGAGCTTCGTTACGCTGAATTGTCCTGAACTCATTAAGATGATCTGTCACTTATGTCGAGTCACGTACACGTATCTCTTGAGGTCGGGCCAAATCATCCTCATGATAAGTTATTAATTTTTGTAGGTACCGTACCTTTTCGATACTATAGTCAGCGTCTTTAATTCCACTCCACTTTCCACGTTCATAATCCGACAAATAATCATGGATCATGATTTCCTGCCACGTGTTCATCGAATGGCCTTATGCTATCATTTTAAAAATCCCTTTCTAGCAGCAGTCGCTCACGGCTCATCTGTGAGCCCTTCTCTCTCTCTCTCCCTCCCTCCAAATGAAATAACCACAACCTCTGTAACTCTTTTAGAACTTTCTCTCTCTTTGCACTCTTTCCTTCGAACTTTGTTATCATGGCTCTGACAGAACTCTCACCCTCATACACAACTCGTTTTCCGTCTTCTCAACTCGCACTAGTTTCAACTCGTCTGTATAGTCACCGTCGGCTAGCACTGCGGCCACCCTCTCGAGCACGGAATGCCAAAGTGTTGTGTTCCATTGCACCCAAGTAAGATTATGCCTTCTCCGTTTTCGTAGTTTTTCGTTTGTTCTTTTTTTCTTTATCCGTTGTTGTTTAATTTCTTCTTACAATGTATTTACGTTCTATCTCAGCGAAGTTAAGGCCCCGGTAACTCCGCAGGTTAACCAGACCGAAAACAAGACCGATTGCTTCGGAGTGTTTTGTCTAACTTATGATCTCAAAGCTGTGAGTTGTTCTCCTCTTTCTTACTTTCAATGAGTTGGTGTGGTCTTTGCATCATTGAATTCATCTGTTTTATTTCGGATGGTAATTTTGGTTTTTAAATTTATTCTTTATCGTCAATTCATAATTATCTTTTAATTTCTTTTTTTCTCTAGGATCAGCGGTATCGATATATGTGCATTGATGTTACTGGCCTCCTTTGTTGATATTTCTTATTTCCTGTTTGTGCTTTTATTGGTATTGGTAAAACGATCACCACATCCATTTCCTCCTAGATATAAGAAAGGAAGAAGAGTGTGGACGACATAATCAATTAATATATCCTATGATCCTATCTATTGAAAATTTGAATACCCAATTTGGGCTAAAAATCCATGAACAATCACCTTTTCTGTTTTGCTGCAAACTAAAACCAGAGCGTGGAATTCTTTCAATGTAAAGAACACTTCTAATTGGGTTCTTCCCTTTATTTGGTATTAAATGTTCAAACTTCAAAGAAATATACTGTAAGATGCACTTGTAATTAGCTAAGACGATTATACTTTGAAGGCTAGGACCCGGATCAACTACACCTTGTACTAAAAGCACAAAATTAAAAGCCAAAGCCAAGAAGACGATGGAAATGAGTCACTGTTGGCACATGGATTTTTTTTTTCGATGAATAACTTTTTTTGGCACATGGAATTATCACCCGTAGGACAATGAAATTTTGGTGAATAATTCCATGGAATTATCACTGACGGTGACTAGTTGCCAACTCGTCTCTACAGACTACAGTCACTTTCAGCACATGGAATATCACCAAAGCCAAGAAAGCTTGATTACTCTAGGACAATGGCAACTAGTCAAGCTTTCTTGGGCTCTAGTGATAATTCCATGTGCCTTTTTCTTTTTTTCTGTTGACAAGCTGAGACTAAAGATCAAGTTTGGTTAATTGATCCTTGATCCTTCTTTTATTTTTACAGGATGAGGAGACAAAATCATGGAAGAAATTAATAAAAATTGCAGTTTCAGGTGCTGCTGGAATGATATCTAATCATCTACTTTTCAAAGTACGGAACTCTTGCTACATTAGACATCTAAGCTCTACAGTATGACTATTGAATTCATTATCATTATCTGTAGAAGCAGCAGCTGCCTATTTTCCAACTATGTGGGATCTGTTACATGAATCTTTTGTCTTTGTTATTATATGATATATAAGTAAGATCCAATTTTGTATCCAAACCTATGTCGTTCCAACCTTTTAGAACCTTAACTCACACGAAATAACACATTCAGTGGCACATCCTCAATCTTTGTTTCACATGACAATCATAAACCATCTAACATCCTTATCTTACCTAGTCATTTTATGGCCTTGCCATTTCTCAAAATATCTTTACTTAGTCTTCATCAAAGCACCAATTGAATCATAGTATTATAATATTTCTTTTTAGGTAAGATAAGCACCAAATGAATCATAATATTTCTATTTGGATGGAGTATTCTTGAACCCGTTAGAGTTGGATTGTAGGATTTGTTGTATTGATTCTTCTAGTTCCTTTTCTTGTTCTTCCTTCTTTTTGGCTTTGACCCAACCTCCTGATAATTCAGTGGTGGCCTTGCGGTGAAGGAGGTTTGGAACAAGCCTATTCCTCCTAGGGTAAGTGGTTTCTGTTGGGAAGTTTTCTTGGGTAGAACTAATACTTGTGATTTTCTTCAAAGAAAGAGAAAATTTGGTGCCTCTCCCCAAATTGGTGCATACTTTTCAAGGCTAATGGTGGAACCACCGCCAAATGTTCAAGGCTTGTTTGACTCTTCCTTTGTTAACTGGAGAAAGAGGAGGGGGAGAACCCTTGGAGGTGTACAAGAGCAGCAATATGCTGGACAATATGGGAAGAAAGGAATCAGAGAATTTTTTCAGACAAGGAAAGGAGCAGAGAAGCAACCATAGAAGCCATTACTGTCAAAGTAATCCATTGGGTTAAATCCTTGAGAAGCTTTGATGACATTCCCACAAATGACTTACTTAGAAAGTGGAAGGAGGTGGCTGATTCTTCTCTTCCAAGAGTTGTTGTAAGGCCTGTTTGGGTCCCACCTCCCAGCAGGTTTTTAAGCTGAATTTCGATGGTAGTAGTGAGGGGAATCTGGGCCCTTGAGGTATTGGAGGTGTTTTTCAGAACAAGGAGGGAGGAGTTATTGCCCTTTACTCATGACCAATAGGTGTGAGAGACTTCTTGAGGACAGAAATCTTGGCTGTGATGGAAGGGATCCAAAAAGCCAAGGAGCTGAATATAAGAAAATTGATCATAGAAAGGGATTCAAAGCTGGTTGTTAGCTGGCTGCAAAAAGATGAGACTGACTGGTGGAAATTTGTCAATGAGAGGACGAAGTTTAAGTTTTTAGCTCAGGATATAGAGATCAAGTTGCAGTGGGTTAAAAGGAGTGCAAATTCCTTTGCCAATGTTTTGGCAAAGCAAGGGGTGGGAGGGGATCAACTCTTTTGGGCTGTTCTGTAATTGCTGTACCTTTTTGTCATCTTGGAGAGAGTTAAGAGAGTTTATCTCTCTCCAGGATGTTCTCTTGTATAATCTTCATTAATTAATGAAATATTCTGGTTATTGATAAAAAAAAAAAAAAAACTTTTTTTATGTTCCCTTGAACTTATAAATGAAGCATGATTTCTATGGAAGTGGAAGGGATATACTCGCAGTTTACAGTAGATTAAAGCCTGCATGCTAACCTAGAATTTTCCACAGAATATAATACTCCACACCACCCTAATCAAGTCAATGGCTACCCAGTTTAGAAATTTGTCATTGCAGGGCCCCTGATATGCATTGCACCTAAAATAATCAGACTGCCCTCAAGTACAAAATGCTACAGAATTTCCATATAGCCTCTGAATACTTGATAACACTGTATTTGTCCCTGGATGAGTCCTTGCCTGCATGGTAATGTATAATATTTAGTATGAAACTTTTCTGCTTTATTTCTGAAAAGGAACTGTTACTGTCATTGATTCACAAACATCAATAACAATTACAAGTGTCCGTGATAAATATCCATTTTGTAAATTCATAAATTCATCCTAGTCATACTTATTTATATCAAGGGATAGTTTATTTATTATTTTGTTTGGCATTCATGTATGATAGGTAAATACTGACCATAATTCTATTAACTCTACCTGGCTTTTACCACTGTTCACCATTTCTTTAATTTCTGAAAGATGCAAAAAGATTTGGCTTGGACATCACTTGTTAATGGGAACTCATACAGTGGGGACTATAGGTGTAATTTGAAGTAATCCTTCTAATACATGCTACTAGACTTGCTGATTACAGTTTTATTGTTTGGTGATATGGATGGTACAAGGTTTTTTTTCTTTTTTCTTTTTTTTTTTATTTTTTTGCATGGAGACCAGGCCTGCCATTGCCAGAAAATGGAACAATAATTTCATAGTCGGAATCTAACTTGTCTTGCTATATCAGCTTGCATCTGGTGAGGTTTTTGGGCCAGATCAACCCATTTCTTTGAAATTGTTGGGATCTGAAAGGTCACTCCAAGCACTTGAAGGTAAGTTGAAATTTGGCATCTCGAGAAATGCTTAGCAACAAAATGGTAGTTCAACTCACAACTAATTGCAGATGGTATTTCATTTATAATTTAGTTACGGATGACTATTTACCTTCTAGTACATGTTTTTAGCCTTTAGCAACTATCCTAATCTATTGCTGCAAGAATATTGTTGTTCTCAACTCTTACTAAACATCAGGGAAATTTACTATTGAGAATAAAAGATATTCTTCTGAGAAGGGGTAACATGTATTTGGTGACGTAATAATAACTTAGGAACCTTACCTAGCAAATTTACAAACACATGCACAAATTCATACTACAAATATTCATGCAGGCATACACACACATAAATATGATACATAGACATCATAGTATGCTAATGTTTTACAAAAACACATCATCATCATCATCCTCTCTCCTCTCCATCTAATGTAAACATACTTATATGCATAAATCAGATTATATATGCCGTACATAATCTACAAGAATATACAATTATAAATGTAATACATTGGGTTCTGGTTGGCCCAACCCAAGTTGCATACTACTATATGGTGCTCGTTATTTCTTGTATGGATTGATATTCATATAATGTAAATTGCTTTTTATATCACTTGATTTTCACTTGCAGATGGTAGACATTTCTCTCCGCTGATATAATTCTTGAAAGACTTGAAATTTTGATTTGGACATAGATGGATGATGGGACCAAAACATGCAAATTGAATATATTGAAAACTATGTGCATCATTAAATAAGAATGAACATCTTAATATAATCTCATAGGAAAAATATAGAAAGAAAAACAATAGTATCCATTCCATAAAAATCCTGTAGTATCTATATAGGATTCTGTACCATATTCTTTTATTACCTAGTGAATACAGTAAAAAATTATTATCTATATGTATGCCATGAATGATTTCACTGTTAATCTTGTCTCTTAAGGAAACAATTAAATTGGGACACTTTTTTTTGCACAAAACTAGATGTAAGTTATTAATTCTAAATTCGAAAATGATCTGAATTAAATTTCAGATTTATATGATATGTAAATATAATAATAGTACTATTGTTTAAGTGCCAATAATTTAAGAATGGATATGGCTTTAAACAGAAAGGAATGGCAAAACAGGATTCATGTAGTTGACTCCATATAGTTGGGATAAGGATTGGATGATGATGTTGATGATTTGTTTTTGTTGTTCATCTCTAATACTGTTTATTCAGGTTAAAATTATGATCTTTTGGAATTTTAGTTGATATTTCCCAATGCTCCCTAAAATGTTAACCTTAAAATGTGCAGGAGTTGCTATGGAATTGGAGGACTCCTTATACCCCCTCCTGAGGGAGGTAAGTATTGGCATTGATCCTTATGAGGTGTTCCAGGATGTAGAATGGGCTCTTCTGATTGGAGCAAAGCCTCGAGGACCTGGAATGGAACGAGCAGACTTACTAGACATAAATGGGCAGATATTTGCTGAGCAGGTTCAATTCAGCCTTTAACATCAAATATAACTTTCCTAGAGACTGAATTGCCACACTAGGACATTTTCTTTCATATACCTTTTAATTATTTGGGTTTTAAATGTCATTCTAGGGAAAAGCACTGAATGCAGTTGCATCGCGTAGCGTTAAAGTGATAATTGTTGGCAACCCCTGCAATACAAAGTGAGGAAATATTGCTGTGAGGGGAAATTATGAATTTTATTTATTCCATAATGCTTATTGTTGCTAACCTGATTATATTTTGTGCAGTGCCCTTATTTGTTTGAAAAATGCACCAGACATACCTGCAAAGAACTTCCATGCTTTGACTAGGTTGGACGAGAATAGAGCCAAGTGTCAGGTAGACCTGTTGGCAACACAATTTAATTATGGTTATCACTATAAAAGGAGGACTAACTTATAATAAATGTTGATTCTGGTCCATGCAGCTTGCTCTTAAGGCTGGTGTCTTTTATGATAAAGTGTCAAATATGACTATCTGGGGGAACCACTCAACTACCCAGGTCATCCAATAGGTTTTCTAGAAAATGCTTTAGTTAGATATATGTGTTCTTTTGAGTCTGTCTTAATCTAAGAGTCTTTGCAAGTTGAGTAGGTTCCAGACTTTTTAAATGCTAGAATCAATGGCATACCTGTGACAGAGGTTATTAAGGACACTGATTGGTTAGAGAAAGAGTTCACTGAGAAGGTCCAGAAGGTAATAACCATAAAATAGAACTAAAACTGACTTACTTCGTTTCTAATCAATGTTGCACTAACATTCTATTACAAAGGATAAGAATTTATTCTGCAGAGAGGGGGTGTGCTGATTCAAAAATGGGGAAGATCTTCAGCTGCTTCCACTGCCGTTTCAATTGTTGATGCCATAAAATCCCTAATTACTCTCACTCCCAAGGGTGATTGGTTTTCTTCAGGGGTGAGTTCATACCAGGAGGAATACATTACTTCTCAATGTTGATAGTATGCTGGAGGAAAATGTTTTCTTTTCCCCTTTCTTCAGTCATTAATAAATTTCTCAGAGGTAGATCTCTGAGCTGGAGGAAAATTATTTTCTTTATTCTCTGAACTAGATCTCTACTTGTGCATTCTTTTTATCTCTATTTGTGTATTATGTTATATTTGTCCAATATCAGGAGCAAAACTGGACTCTGAAGAGACTATTTTGGAGGTTTAACTTGATCTTTTTAAGAAAGAACCTTTCCAGGTCAATGGCATGATATTAGATAAAAACCATGAACTACAAAATCTGCACACATGACATTAATTGGTCATTACCATTTAGAGTAGCTACCACAGATATTTTGTTTCTTTCCTGTTTGTATATCCATAAAGGTAACCGTGCATTTCTTGAAATTTCGATGTCTCCACTTCAGAAGACAAATTCCAGTAATGCATTATGATTCTCAAGAAATCTGAAACCCGATTCTGCATTTACCACCAGTCGCACTATTCATAAATAAATAAATAAATAATAAACTACCAGTCACACCATTCCCACTTTTGAATTGCTATAAAAAAATTGAATAGTTTTCTCCAATCTTACTGTTTACAGCACAATTCCAGGTTTACACCAATGGAAATCCTTATGGTATTGTCGAAGATATAGTCTTCAGCATGCCATGCAGATCAGATGTGAGTTTCGTATTCAATGAATTACCTTTAATGATGTTTGTTATGTCAAGTGCATGACCTGCCTCTCAAGGCTTATGTGTAATATTCAGGGAAATGGTGATTACGAGCTTGTCAAAGATGTGATCATTGATGATTTCCTGTGTGAGCGCATAAAAAAGGTTTGCTTCTTCATTAACCCATTTTCCAATGTACCATCGACATATGGCATTTATTTGATGGTAAAATATGACAAGATCACTGTGATGCAGACTGAAGCTGAGTTGCTTGCTGAGAAGAGATGTGTAGCTCACCTTACAGGGGAGGTAAATAATGTGTCTACTGACATGGTTAAAAAATATCAGTGACCACCTTTTATGGATTGGCTAACAATGCCTTAATCTGGTCCCTATTTTTTAGGGTAACGCCTACTGTGATCTTCCTGGAGACACAATGCTTCCTGGAGAGATGTAATCACCAAATAGGAGGATATTCTCTAGAAAGTTGTGAAGGCTTTTACCAGAACAGCAGAATAGCAGAGCAGATTTTGAATTGAGAATCTGATGTTTTTGCCCTTATATGCCATCCCATAATAAGTAATATTAGTAGGCCAAGTCAGTGAAGAGTGTTCTGGGAGGAAAAAAAAAATTCTAGCGGTTTTGATTCATCGACAAATTTTTGAGGTCCTCGCGTCTCATGAATAGCCTCAAGCTGTACCAATGCCATTTTTTAATGTATCATCCTACTTGTATATCTAACTGTATAATCCTTTCTCTGATTTCATGGATGGGTTTTGTGGCAATGTTCAATTATGTTGAATAGAAACATGTCCAAAAGATGGGTACATAGGACAGGGTCAGAATTCAGAAATGAAATCATTTGACGAAACCATGGTTTGATCACATGCATAGAAGACCATCTACAATACCTTTAAAGAAGTGGTCAAGTTGAAGCCTTGAAGGGGCTAGAAGGGCTAGGGATAAGACCAAGAAAAAACATAGTTTGAAGTAGCAAGGCACTTAATGGTTCTGTTATTAAATAGAACAGAATAGTAAAACAGGATTCATGTAGCTAAGTAGCCAACCCATATAGTTGGGACTTGGGATGAGGGTTAGATGGTGATGATGGTCAATGATATTGAATGTACCTCTCTGCTTACAAGTTATAATTACTGACATTCAAATGGTTAATAGACTGCAAACCATGAGCAGAAAAGATGGATGTCTCCTAGCATCAGAAATTCAACATGCACTGCCAATAAAGTAAAATTGGCTGATGATCAGATGACTAGACTACTGCTGTGCATAAAGATTCTGGTCATTTCTCAGTCCACACTCCACGGTAACTAGCTTGTGGGATCTCTCAAACGGTGGGTTCAATGTCTTAACAGTCCAGAATCTAAAGTCAAAATTGTGTTTGCATAAAAAGGCATCCTGCTTCCTCCGAGTTATGATATACCATTTCAGATACATACATGTGGGGCCCACGTGGCCTGCTGATGTAGCATTTCATGGTTAACCCTGTATTCTCCTGTTCCTGTGGAGGATTCTTACATACAGGTAGATATCATAACCAAGGTTCAAACTTCAAAGTATATATGGCCCAATACATAACGTATCGGTAGATATCATAACCAAGGTTCAAGCTTCCCGATACGTTCCTAAAGAGGGTGTATCGGGATTTTGACCGGGTTAGAAGTGGACAGATCTTAAACAGGACCCTCTGAACCAGATTTGAAAAAAAAAAAAATTATCGATTGCCTGGTATTGATAACATGGGATTTATTCTACCCATGCCAATAAGTACCGGCCGTATTGTATTATATCAATTATGTATCGTCGATTGATACAAAGTTACAAACCAATAAATGTGGATACGGTGCAATACAATATGCAAGATGAATGAATGAAAAGTTTTAACCAACGAAATATCTTTCAATAGATGTACACATTTCTTTTGGTATTTGGTGATACGCTCAACCACACTAATAATCCCATTAGACCTATTATGCTTTTGATTGTATTAGTAATTAAACATGTGTATTTGCATGTAAGAATTTTTTTATATTAATTACTTGAATTTTAGATATATTATATTTAAAATAAAAATTGAAAATTAACATAAGTAACAATATGATTAAAAATAAACTCAAATGCTTATAATAAATGTGCATGTGTATTGTATGTGGAAATTTTAAATTACAATAACAATTATTATTATTATTATTATTATTATTATTATTATTATTATTATTATTATTATATTTTTGTCATATATAAAAATAATTTTTATTTTAACAATTATTTTTATTTATTATGATGAATATATAACATTATAAATGTTCTCAAATGCAACAAAATTCTATACATATTCATTGATTGTGTTCTATATTTTTTAAATATCTATTATTCAATTATGACATTGTGATTTTTTTTAAAAGTTAGATCATTGACCCACCATCTAGATAAGAAAATAGCTTTGCTTTCAGATTAGTTTTAAATTACATATCATCTACATTATATAAATAATTTTTACTTATCACACTTCATTTTTGTTTGATATAATTAATTATATATATATTTTTATATATTATTTTGATTACTTAATTTTTTTATTTTTTAAAGATTTATTATTTATCTATCATATCGTCAATAAATCTATTTTTGTTCAATATATTTCCATCATTGATAAAATTATTTCTTATGTATAATACTTATTTTTGTTCAATATAATGAATGTATAATATTAGAGATGTACTCAATATTAATTTTTATGAATATATAAAATTAGATATGTGCCCAATTTTTTTCTATTTTTTTAAATTTTATTATTTGACTATGACTTCATTTCAATTCTAGGTTGATTTTAAATTTGGCTTTTCATTTTCATCATTAATGAAATTACTTCTTACATTTCATATGTATTTTTATTTAGTATAATGAATATACAATGTTATGAGATTTAATGAGAGAGAACGGAAAAATAGTTTTATTTCTAATTGGTTTTAAATTTTACATTCAATTTCCATCATTAATAAAAGCATTTCTTATTTATCATACTTATTATTGTTGTCAAATATATGATGTTAAAAATGTTCCCATTTTTTAAATTTCTATATTTTTTTTTGCATTTGGTCTATTTTGAATTTTATTATTTAATTGTGGCAACATGGATTGACCCATTTGACCTAAAACAGTTTAATTTCTTACCACCACCTAGATGAAAACACTATTTTTTTCAAATAGATTTTAAAAGTATGTTTTTAGGGAAATTGTCTAAAACTCACAATGAGTTTTCAACATTTCTCTTGAAATCACCACAACTTTTCAAAATGTCTAAAACTCACCATGTCAATAAGGTTTTATTTTCCAAAAATCACCTTCAATTAGTGCACCGTTAATGCTTCTTAACACAGGTGTCCATGTCAGCATAAATAACAATTTTCATGACCAAACTACCCTTGAATGATGAGTTAGAGGAAAAATGGTATTTTTCAGTTTTCAATTTTCTTGTTTTTTTTTTTGCATTTTTAGTGTTTTGTTATAATTTCTATTTTTTTTACATTTTTCTATTTTCTACAATCTATAATTTTTTTGTGTTTTTTCTAAAATTTTTATTTTCTGATTTTTTTTTCAATTTCTATAGTTTCTATAATTCAAAAATATTTTTTATTTTGTTTGCAATTTCTATAATTTTATATTTTTGTAATTTCTATGTTTTATGTATTTTATATTTGAAAATACTTTTTTTGAACTTTTTCCTTTTTCATGCCTAAATATTAAAATGGTAATATATTAACACCCGTTAATTTATTTTGTATATATTTTATATTTTTCTATGAAGATTAAAATGGTAATATATTAACACCCATTAGTCAGTTTAATGTCAAGTTAGTGACATGGTGAGTTTTAGACATTTTGAAAAGTTGTTGTGAGTTTAAGAGAAATGTTAAAAACTCATGGTGAGTTTTAGACAATTTCCCATGTTTTCATGTTATTGGAATTATTAATTTAATTAATAGAATTTAATGATGAGAAGAAACAAAATGCCTTAAATATATGATTCAATGAGGGTGAATGCAAATTAATACATTAATTTTTGGATTTAATGAGAGGAAATTGAATGCATTGAATATCTTATAATTGTCTCTTCTCAACTCATTTAATATCAATAATTGATTACTATTTTGCCCTCATTTTTTATCAATAAATTTAAATGTGTAAGGGTAAATTTTGTCCTCAAAAAATCCAGAAATATTCCTAAGGCTATTCATGCTTTTTAAAGTAGTATAGATTAATAGATCTATGGATTTCATTTTCCAAACAAATCGGAGAATCTAAAAATTACAAAAAGAATAATTTTTTTTTTTGTTTTAAATGGTAGGGAAGAAGTTTAAGACAGATCTATGAATGATCTATTAAATCCATGAATTTAAAAAGTAAAAATCATAAAATATAATTTAAAATCAACAATTTATACCAAAAATAAATATTTTTAATTTTTTTATAATTTAAAAAGTAAAAATCATAAAATAAAAAATAATTATTTTAGTAATTGAAATTTAAAGGTGCATATAATTTGTGTCTTGCACTCTTAGATCTATGCATCTTCTACTTCTCATGGATCTAATATAATATATTTTTAAATTAATTATGTTTTTTATAATTAATTAATACTTTACCTTTAAAATAAATAATAACCTATTAATGGTTTAATACAGCCCATACGTGGGTATTATTTTGCACCCATTGCAGTAAGGGCAATATGGTAGTTATCTGCAAAAGAATGGGGTATTATTTAGAAAAGAGACGAACAAAAACAAATGTAAAGTGGGTTCCCTGGGATCGAACGTTAACGAGGCTCAACGATAACAGATAAGAGTGAAGAGAGACCCAAAGAGGAGACAGAGGACTAGCAATGGCATCAACAGCAGCGTTATCGTGGAGTTCCTCCTCCTGGTTTCAGAGCTTAGGTGGAAGGATAAACAGTGAGGTCTCAAAAATATCAGAGAAGGGGGTTGCAATGGCGGTTGTGGCTCAAAAGAAAGCCAAGAAGACCAGGAAGGTACTCGTCCATGAGATGAGATGTGGCCATGGCTACTTCGGTTTATCATTTTGCTCTTCTGGTAGCTAGGGTTTTTATTTTTCCTTGAAGACGGTGGTTTATCGGGTTTTCTATACTTTTTTGTTGAATTCTATTTGTGGGTCATTGCTGCTTTGTGCAGATAATTCTGAAGGATGATATACCAGAGCTGGGAAAGAAAGGGCAACTTCTCGACGTCAAGGCTGGATTTTACCGGAACTACCTCTTACCCATGGGAAAGGCCCAAATTGTCACTCCCGTTTTACTCAAGTAATTATAAAAGAAAACACCTTTCGCTCTTATATTCTTCTTGTACATGAATTGGAACTGGAAGAGTCGAAAGTAGCTCTTCTGACTAAAACATATTATGCACAAATCTTGTTAATTTTTGTATGACTGTAATCTAGTTCACTTAAAACACATTTAGAAGATGTAGAGAAAAAGGATCAAGAATTAATTGGGTACTCAAGAAACGCGGTGGGTAGAGTTGTTCTGGAAGATATATATTCATCCATATAATGTAGGTTAACAGAAGCAAGGAAATATGAGAGAAGACCTCTAAACAAGTTAGATACCTTAAAATCTTGTCTTCCCTTCTTTCATTGATCACTTTAACTAATTTCTCCTTTTCCTAAAGATTCAGACAGTAGGGCATGGACCTTCAAAGGCCTCAAGCAATATTACGGCTATCACAGGAATAACACTTCTACTCTATGGCTATTTAAGAAGTCCCCTTTCTCAAGCTCAAGGAATTTAGGTGGGAAGTTGCCCATAAGTGGATAACGTCAATCAATGCTACAAAACATGCTCAAATGGAAGATTTGTCTTTATGTCTACAGTTCATGTCTAGCCAATGGGGATGCAGTGAATCACTTGTTCATCCATTGCAAGTTTACAGGTAAGTAAGGGCCATTACCCAATGATGGCCCCAGCAATCCGGGGAATTGGGAGGGTAGACTGGATATGGACCTAACTTTTCGCTTCTTTTTTTTTTTTTTGCACAAAATCGTTTCTCTCAAACTCATGACTAGGGGTGTCAACAGTATTTGAAAATCCGATTTCAAATTCGAGATTCGACATAATCGAATCAAATTCAGATATCCTATTCATACATCATACTGAATAGCTAATCGGATTCAAATTCAGATATGACCTTATTCGATTCAATAAATATCCGAATTCGACCGGTTATTTAATTCTTATATATAATATATAACTTTTTTAAATGTTTTATATAATTTATATATATATAATAATTAAATTATATAAATAATTTATATATTTGTATACTTTATATAGATAAAATATTTATTTTATATATTTATTAATTACCTAAAATAATTAATTAGTCAAATTCAAATATTAATTTTCAATATCCGTTGGATATCGAATCAAATTCGGATATTGAATTTTTTAATTGGATTCGAATTCGGATATATATATATATATATATATATATATATATTATCAATAACAATGAAATTTTATTAATGATTGAGAGAATCAGAATTACAAGGGAAGGAGCTAAAGAATCTTTACTCCCAACAACTCAAAGTACATCCTGACCATGAGGCAATTACAAAACAGCCCAAAATATAGTGTTTCTGTTTACCTCTTGCCTAGCTAGACCATCTGCCGATGCATTTGCACTTCTCTTTATCCATGTACAATGAATTTCCATGTCCTTGGTGAGCCACTTGAACTTCCTCTTTTCATTGCTGTATTTCCAGAGCATAGAACTGTCCTCTTTTGGCCAATTCACCACAATTTCAGAATCTATAATCAACTTTTTAACATTCATTTCCTTGACCCTTTGTATCCCTTCAATAGCTCCTAGAATCTCAGCTTGCCATCATTTGATTTTACCATTGCACCAAGTCTACTGGTAAGTGTATGTGTATCATTTTGAAGCAGTATGAACAGCGAAATCCCTAAGAATTTGTTAGTTCTTCTTTGGAATTGGCTTTTGCTTGTTTGTGAAACATTGATGCTTGTTGCAGTTTTATTATGGTGTTTTGGAAAATCATTCCAATTAGGATGTTCTAAATTGGATCACCATTTTGGTTGCTAACTGGACATCTAATGATGGTAATTTCTTCAGAATATAGTAAGAGAACGGTTCCTCATAGTACAACTAGGCCTTTTCCTTCCTTGGAGTGTGACATACCCCCTGAGTCCTAATCTGGGATCCATAATACTGAATCTTGATGGCTACCCATTGGGAAATCGTTCAGCTTTTGGTGCCATGGTTACTGTTTCTTCTGGTAAGGTGGAGAAGGCAACTGTAACAAAACACAGATCCTTTTTGTGATACCAGGGATTTACACTTTCATATTCTTTCTGTTACAAAGAGAACCGCCATGGCCAGAAATTCTTGCACTTTGATAAGGACCATCAGAATATTTGCTTGAAAAAAAAATGATCTTAGCAGGCTCTGTTACCTTATTGGAGATGCTGGGTCCTTGGCTTCAGGTTTGAGTACCCCAATCAATTGGAGGCTTAAGTGGCCCTTGATAGAGTGCAATGGCAAACCAGGATTCACATAGCTCACTCCTACAGTTTAGATTTGTTGAGTTGAATTGAGTTGAGTGGTCAATGACTCTCATGTAGTTTTTCTCTTTTTCAGCTCTTATGCTTCTTGTTGTATTCTCTTATTTGGTCTTTCCAGCAAGTCTTTTTCCCTTGTTTCCTTCTTCCCATTTCCCTAACTTCACCTTATAAAATATCTTACTATAGATGAAAGAATGGACAAATAATGAAAAGGTTGGAGCTGACAACAAAGAAATTGCCATTAATGGAATATATAACAAATGAAAGGTTTCAGGTCACATGATGTGTATTACAAGGCATAAACATAAAAGTTTAGGAAAGCAATATTTTATTAACTTTTAGATAACCAGCATATGTATATGCAATATCTTGTAGAGAATATTATACTGTTTCGGATGTAAGGATGATGGTATTCTCCTGATTCTTTTGCCAGGGAAATTCGGATGGAAGAGGAGAGAATCGAAGCAGAGAAGAAGCGGGTAATTGACTAACAGACATTTATTTGTTATACTTATTTTTCCTTATATTGTAAACATAGTCAACTTTTCTTTTGATCTATCTGCTTATGCTAAAAAATATGACAATGGATTCTTCTATTTTTGGTGGGTATTAGTTGGTTTTCACTGTTTCCTTTTGTGTTCTTTTTCCATTTTTTCTTTTTATCATCCAATCTGGTCGTTGATCCATTTCTCATTTTAATGGCCCTTCCTGTAGTTATAACCTGGTATTTTCCCTGGAATTGGGGTGGCATGGAGATTCTACATAATCAGGAACTCCAAACAGAGCCATAGCATATGAGAACCTTGGCTCTGGTAATTTGAAGACCCGTTCCTGTCTTGTTGAGGACCTTGGGTTTGTTTTGTCTAATGTTGCAGCTAATTGAAGTGCATTTTCCAAACTATATTCACTTCGTGCCTTTTGGGCCTTACAAGTACCATGTTCTCACCCTTTCTGTTGTTTCCCTTCTGGTGGAATTGTAACCCTAGCAATCTATCCAATCATGGGTAAGTTGTGGTTTTCATGTTATACCCTTGTGTGCAGGTAAAAGAAGAAGCACAACAGCTTGCTACAATTTTTGAAACAGTTGGAGCTTTCAAGGTGAAAAGAAAAGGCGGAAAAGGGAAACAAATCTTTGGAACGTAAGTGGATCTGTAATGCAAGTCTACACAACTTACTTGAATCATCTTTTCAATGTTGTGTCTCATAGGCACTTTTTTCTTTCCAGTGTTACTGCCCAAGATCTTGTGGACATTATCAAAGCACAGCTTCAAAGGTACCATGTCTGTATCCTTGTGTAGATTCATAAAAATATACTGTCAGAGATTGCCCAGCACATTAATACAAGAAATGATGCTAGTAGATGTTATTGGATAATGGAACATGATATTAGAGGATAGACAGTTAAGTAGATATTTGGTGTTTGTTATGCAATGATGTTCTAGTAATGTTTAATATGCAAATATTGTTCCATAAATGCCTAAATTGTTGTGATATTAGGAACATGGGGGGACTCTGCCTTTGCACATCATAGTGTAGGGACTGTACCTACCAACTCATTTTCAGACAGTGATGGAGAGCATCTCAATGTTGGATCAACCAAATTTAGACCCTTTGCCTGCTTATTAATATTACTTTGAAATGTTTGAGACTTTGAGTTTTAGTCAATGAGGTAGTGTGTTATACTCCACCAAAGGGGCTACCCACCTATTCAACATTTCTGAATGAATGAGACTAAGGTTATATCTACTGTTTGATGTGTCTGGAGTATCATATACTTTCTCATAGTTAAAATTAAATGCACAGTGAATCATATAGATGGTTAATTAAAAAATTTTAATTAAATATTGATTTTTCTTGAATGCTTAATATATGTTTTCTCATTACCATGTATTAGTTCGTCTTCTTTATCTGTCAGGAGGTTAATATTATCTATATATAACAACACCCACCATCACCACAACTCTCATCATCATTTCCACCGCAACTGCCAATCTACAACTACAAATTGCTCCCACACCACCAATATACTATTTTTTTTCTAAATAGTTTTTTAGGGAAAAAAGATGAAAAATACAACCTAACAGTAACTTAAAAAATGATTGTTTAATAATGTCATGAGCTAAAAAAAAACTCTTCAAAAAAATAATGCCATGAGCTAACCATCACATATCTAGAAATGATTGTTTTCATAAATTTATTTTTATTAGTTTATTGGGAAAATTCCCTATTAGTACCCTGTACTTTGGGCCTGGTGTCACTTTGGTCCCCGAACTTTAAAACGCAACAATTTAGTACCCAAACTTTCAAAATATGTCAATCCAGTACCTACTGTTAATCAGTCTGTTAATCAACTGTTAAGTCGCATTTGAAAAGACACGAATGCCCTTCAAGTGTCATCTAATTCTCTTTATCAACCATCCAAACATTGATAAAAAGTGAACAGGCCCAAAGTACAGGGTACTAATTGGGAATTTTCCCTAATTTATTATTTGAACAGTCAATTTCCATGACATTTACCTCCACAGGCTACTGTATTACAGATAATGAAATAGAAAGTACTTCTGTGTCATCTTTGATTGTGTTGATATAATACCCTTACCTATCCACCTTTTTGCCTGTAGGGATGTAGACAAGCGGATTGTTTCTCTTCCAGAGATCCGGGAAACTGGAGAATATATTGCAGAACTGAAACTTCACCCAGAAGTTACTGCTCGAGTGAGATTGAATGTCTATGCCAACTAAGGACAAGCATTAAAGCCTCTTATCCAATAGAAAATATGTAAGCAACAACTTGCATCTATTAGACAAATGCATGGAATACAAATATACAATCTGTCAAACTTGAACTGTGATTGGAACCCCTCTCCCAAATGACAACATATTGGGGGCCCATCATTGTACAGTTAAACAATGATATAAAAGGAAAAAAAAAAGACAAATGGTATTCCCATCCATCAAAAAACGAAAAAGAACAAATGGTATTATACCCTTTATATACTCTATTTCAATCCTCTTTGGCCTTTGGTTTTTCTCATTTCATTTCTTTTTCTTTTATTTTTTACTTTCGTTTTATTTAATTTTTTTTGGGGTAGGGGGTTAGATTGGGTTTCAACAGAACCCTGTTTCCTATAAAATAAAGATAGATGATAGCATATTCAACAAAAGAGTCCGCTATGATACTGAAAAGTGAAAAGGTATCATATAACCAATTAACTGGTTATCATCCAATTCGTAACCAATCAACTGCTATTCATCCAGATTCAGATGGGCTTCCAATTGTTTAAAGTTTTTCAGGTATCATACCTTTCTGATATCATAAAAAATACCTGAAAAATATTTCATCCAGAATACAGAAAAAAAGTGCCAACTGTAGTTATCTTTCCATGTTTGTTTTATTTTATTTTTATTTGTGTCCTTTGGCATTCTGTGACCCCTGTAGAGCTGCATGAATCTTTCACTCTGCAGCTGCTTGTAGGGATGATCACTTTAAGCCTAGTACCAAATTTCTGGGCTTAGGCCTGAGTTTTGTGTGAGGCCCGGAAATTTGCAGGCTGGGTCTCATATATGTATTAAATAGAATGTATTTACCGGCATAGGCCCAAATCCTGGCTGCTCCATGATCACCATTAGCAGCTTCACCTTTTTCATTCTGTAATGAAAATCCCTTGTTCACCTAGAAAAAATCTTTACATCGAAATTATGATGAGTTGCTTGTTTACAACTGTTAACTTTTTCTATTGTAGGAGCAATGCTTAAAAAGGCGATATCAAATCTACAGCAATGCCTGCTAAAGGATGCCGTGCATGTAGATTTTGATGTGTTGATATTGAGTAACCTTCAGCTAAATCATTATTGTGTTTTTATTTGTTTCTTCTATTGTATGGTTCTCAAGAACTATGGACTAACTACGCTCTTTGTAACCTTTTTGGATAGTTTTCTGTATAACCAGGCATTCTACAGGCTAAAGGGAATTATTTAAGCCACCATGTTGTTTGATATTGGTAAATAGAGAGCATGGGACCTGACCTTTTTGGTTTGCAAATGGGTACAGAGCATTAACGTAGAGAGCCATGAAGAAAAAACCTCGTGGTGGAAGTGGAACCAATCAACCTTATCGGATAGTCTCAAGAATTTGATATTTGGATCCTCGATATCAAATCCACTCATGATGCTGTAGACCAGATGTTTGGCATCGATGATGGTTTCTTGAAAATCACTGCCATGTTAGAGCCACATCAACGTTAAAGGAATCGGTCTCTGTTGGTTGGCCAATTTTGGTGATTTTCAGAAATTTGGCCAAAATCAATTATTGAAATCAACCCTTTTCAGGGATCACCTTTTTTTATGATTTCCTGATTCCGATTTTTCGAGGATGATATGACATATAACATAACATTGAATAATAACTCTAATACAAAAATAAATCGGCCCTTAAAAATCAGTACCTAACAGACTCAAAGCAGATTTCTCAAAAATTGGTTTACATGGCATAAATGATACCAAACAACAATTTTTGGTGATTTTTCAAAAACCACTTTCTAGATAATCAGCAAGGAGGAATCATCATCAATGCCAAACATTACCTTAGTAGCTGAATCTTTGACATCAAATCTAATCGCATTATATTAGGCCCAAGGTTAAATAAAAGGAAGCCACAAATTTTATAAAATAATACTTTCTACAACTAAGGGGATGTTTGGAACCGTAGCCGTTTTTCAAAAAAACAGTGCCATGACGGATCCACATAGGTGTTTCAACAAATGCCCATGTATCTCATTGTTTGGTTCAGCCAATATTAAAAAATTGGGCATGCTTCGAAAATCGGGACCCAACCAATAAAATTTGGCGTTTCATGCATCAGTGAACCATTTCCCCCAACGGTTGACTGATGTGTCTCTTATGTGGTATTTACCTGTCAGCACATACATGAAAAACGGTGATGAAAATCACCTTACCAAATAGCGTAGTATTGCTCACTGCCTATGTGGCAGAAATATTTTTTTTTTGTGAAAAACAGGTCTTAAAAGCATGGGTGTTTTTTCTTGAAACTCGATCCCAAAAAGCGGCCGCGCTTCCAAACACCATGTAAATAAGTTGGCTATAAATAAGACGTCAGCACATTTTAATTGCCTGTGAATAATACATGGAATCGACTTCAGTGTTTTTAAACTGCAGCCAAACTGGATGGCCAGAATGGTCAATTTGTCATACCAATACGCCCATACCCTAATTGCTTGTTATAATCATATCCATTTGATTCGCTTCTTAGTGGATTTATCTCCATAAATACTAAAATTAATTATTTAATATATTTATAAATATTAATACAAATTGTATTGATTTTCTGAACATTTAGTTCTTTATTATGTATATAACTTATTTACTAAATGTTATTTATGTCAATACAATTTGTATTAATAACCATTAGGACAAACTGTATATAATAGAAGATATATATACTAATATAAAACATAATGGTTTATATTAATATCTCAAACCTCATATAAACCATAATGGTTATTTTTGTATATAACGTATTTACAGTCATAAAATTTATCTCTATTTTTATTAATATATTTTTTAAGGATTTAGTTTACTTTCCTAACATATTTCCATGTATATCCAAATCATATCACAGATTCACAATGTCTCCTAAAATTGCCTTTCCAAACCTTGACCACAGAATGACCAATTTGATGTAGATAATTAAATGGAACCGCCTTTCCATTTGGGTGGCAAACCCACTCTTTTAAATTAATATATTAAATAATATAATTTATAGTAAATTTAAAAAGATGCTTTAATTTTATATCACATAAATTTAAAAAGATAAGTTCAATAGCAAATTGTATTGGTAGTAACGCGATCTGTGGCTGAATCTTGCCTCTCGACCCCATTAACTCCATTTAATTGATTTTGTTAAATTTCTTTTGTAAAAATTATTAAAATATCTCTTATGTATTTACATCTTATTTATAATCATTTAGTCGTAGATTTAATCATTTAATGTTATTTGTGTAATTATAAAAAAAAATGTTTATGTGCTTTTTGCCTTTTGGGGAATTTTTTTTCTACCATGTCTGCCACTTTGGAAAGGCGTGTGCAATTCTATGCATAATTGCATATCCAAAGCACATGACATCCCAAATGCCTCTTAATTCTTAAAATTTTCCTTTCCCACTGTCATATATCCATCCATAGACCTAAAAGATGGTAAAATGGTGAGTGAGACAGTAGAATTATAGCCCAACTTCCCCCGGCTATCCGAATCTTGGATTGAGAGGGGTGCACTATATTGCACATTAACATTGAAAAAAATTAAAAAAAAAAAAGCAGAGAAAATCAAAGTATACTTGCTGTGCCAAAATGACAGATATCAACACTGGCCAGCCTGGCCAAAGCCCCCAAGGCAAGATAGGGCTCGGCCTGGACCAAACTATAGGTTCCCAATCGCACACGGCAGCACAGTATATGTAAAACAATCAAATATCACCAATATCATTATAGATAAACATCCCAAGTAGCCGAACAATTTACTAAGATTGGACTCACTTTTCTCAAGCACATATTAACCAAAATCATCGTCAAAATTTACATCAGACTTGCCAGTCTCCAAGATGAATGAAAACAAAAAATGAGGATGAATTTTCCTTCTTTTTTACTTTCTAGGGGTTAAAGGGTATTGAACTCCAGCCGCCAAAAATGCTTGTTACATCAAAACTGATAGACTGACTATTCATCACCTCTGGGCCCTAAACTGCAATTAAGAAAATCTCACCTTTTCTGTGATGTACCGTAACCGTAGATTATGTGACAAGCCTTAACCAACCAGCTCAGATCGAGATGTCAACCTTGATTTACAGCCTGGTTGACCATCGACATTTATCTCTAAATCCTTCGATGTGATAGAGCTCCTCTTATACTGCAAGCAAATCACCTCAGCTCTTCTGTTTCTTCTTTCTCCTCTTCTCTTCTCTTGGCTCCATTCTTGCTTCCAGACGTCTTGCTTGTCGTAAACGGATTTCTTCTACCTTTTTCTTGGCATCTCGGAATAGAGCATCAGATTTCAAAGACAAGTATTGCTGCAATACCAAACGAAAGTATGAAACTGGGACATTTTAAGTCTACTTGATACAATACAACATAATTGTCGGGACAAGCTAAATTTGCTCACCTTGAGATGGTCCATTGCTGCAAGATTAAAACCAATAATATCTTTACAATCCTGACACAAATGAAAACACATTAGACCATCAACTACTCAGTCCTTGCTTGTTAACATGATCGTATCCAGAGAAAAATGTCCATCACACGAAGAAAAGAATCAATTGTAAGGAGACCTTGCTTCTTTAAAAAAACAAATATTAAAATGAAAAATGCATAGAAGTATTCGGAAAAACAAGACTATTTACATAGGACATTAATTGACCCTTGACATAAGCATGTGAAATTAAAGACAGATAAAGTGCTTTCAAAATATTTATATTTTTTGTGATCATATCATATCAGTTGCAGAGAAATTATGGGGTCAGAAACTAAACTAAATTCTAATAATCAGTCAACGATGTAATATAAGACCACAAGAAAGTTTTAGGAACCCTAAATACATTAGGAGATAATATACAAATGATAGTCTAAACAAATTAAAAATAAGTATAATAAAAGTAAAATGATTAATAAGGCTTATAATGAAAACCCTAATCACCAATTTGTGGCTTCCCAGCACCAAGCAACAAGAATGAACAATTTATACATTAAGCAGTAATTGATTTTGATGAGAACATGGTATCAAGATTGAAAGCTTGGCTATAATACACAAGTTTGAAAGCAACAAGAATGAACTTACAAAAGCACAAGTTTTGAAAAGCTTGGCTATAATACCGAAAAAAAAAAAAGGCTTGGCTATCAAGTTTGAAGGAAAAACATAGAAATGTATGTACATGGTATATAAAAATGGCTGAAAACAAGGGGTATGAATAACATTTGTCCTAAACAAGTATCTAAGAAATGGATCCTGAATCAAGAAATTGAATTTTTTTTCTTTGGTTTTTGATGGATTGAATCAAGAGATCATTCAATGGTCCCAATGGCAACAACAGCCCATCAATAGCAATATAAACAATGTTGGTTCAGTAAAGACACATTAAAATGAGCTAGTAGGTTAGGGCAAAACATTTTTTATCTCATAAATGTTTGACCACATAATATGGGAGAGGTGGAGAAGGATGTCAACCATATAGTAGATAGAGCAGGCTCAAAATATTCATTCATATTGAATTGCTGTGTAACCCAGGCAATACCAAATTGCCAATTAAACCGAAGGAAAGCTTTGGTCAGAAAGACCATGCTTTCTAGAGACAAAGTTAGGACAACCACTAAACATGACACATCAATATAATGATTAATGAGCACAGCATAAATGAGATTTTTCAAGCAGATAAGTGGCACAAGTAAAATGTGAAATAGCAAACTAAATTCAGAGACCCATGCTTCAATAAAGATATGCAGCAAAACCACAAATTTGGGGAGAAGCCTCTCAAACTAACAAATTAGTGATATTGCACCAAATTTCATTAAAAAAATCATCCTCATAATGCTATAAATTGCTTTTGCAAATCTATTCTCAACAGACCTAAAATTGATCAATATTCTGCCTCTGTACAGATATGCAGAAGATTTAAGTCCCCATCTAATTTCGGTTACTATTATTTTCTACTAAGGAAGGAAATATTGATAACAAAAAGGGGCACACCTTGGTCAATGCATAAAACTAGATCAAAAGATTACCTTAATTCTTGCATAAAGAATGTCTTTAAGAACAGTCAAGACAGGCCTGGCAGCAGGAGTAGTAATCAATTGGTTATGATGTATTTGCAAGAGAACTGTACCAATCCTGCAAACAAGCTCGACCTGCATTCCAACAGAAAGTAAATTAGAAAGATGTGATACCTGGGCCACCCGCCACCAAGATCAACAAATAGGAAGAACCAAAAACTACATATTCCGGCACACTTAAAAAGGAAGAGCAAAATATCCCCATGAACAAACATTGTTTTCAAGAATTCCAATGAAGGCAGCAATGAAATGCCTTGCATTGCAAACTCGAATCAGGAAACAATGCAAAACTGATGGAAAAACCCAGCAATCAGATTATAGAACAAAGAAAAGGGAAACATAAAAACCATTTTAAATAACTTGATAATACATGGTAAACATATAACTGTGCAGTCAGGTGTACTACATATTTGTGCATTTAAACCCTTACCCTATCAGGATTGGAAGCCCAATCCTTCAAGTAAGACATAAGCTTCAAGGCATCTGAAAATGGTAAGGACTGCAAACAAAAAGCCTATGGTTAGTGTATCATCCACAAAGAAGTTGTTAACCAGAAGCTAAGAAAATCTCCAAGTATAACCAAGATGCAAAGGAGAAGAGAGAATATTCAAGATACTAGAAAAAGGTCATTTATTTTAAAAAGCATAAAAAAATACTAAATGCATTAAATGCTAGAAGGAAATATTGGTGCTACAGAATTTTACCAAGCATATAAGCAGTTTCACTATTGGTTACTTTACAGCAAATGCACCCAACACTACAGTGACTCCAAACAATATGAAAATCACAAATATCTGAAATGAAAGTCATAATGAAATAGAAATTACGACAAAAGCAGAAATTCATATAGAAACAACATGGATAATATGCAATCCAAATGCCTCATCCACAGTACCCAAGTTAAAATCCAAGAATGAGCAAGAGTGTATATAGTACCAACTGTATGCTCAAATCAGGACCACTCACAAACACACCACAGCAAGGCAGCCAGGTTATAGGTAAACACCACAGTCACAGGCTCCCCCAATGACCCATAAAATATATTAAAGAACATATATACAAGTAACAAATATTTCATTAACACCACCCAACAATGGAGCCTTGATACATCAAAAATTAAACATAAACAACTAAAGCCTGGTACATATTACATCCCAGCCCAGAATAACCCCAAAGTAGCTGCTCATCATCACCCCTGCGCTTGCCAAAGAACCCGCCATCATGTTTGCACTTCCATGGACCCAGTTGAATGAGATGTTCAAGAGGCACCTTGATAGTTTGCCTGACTCACCAGGTGTCTAAACTCCAGAGGGATTAATGCTCAAGCTTCCATCCAAGAAACTACAGTTTGGTAGTCACCCTCCACTTCCACATCTTTCACTTTTTTATCAATAACTGCATCTTTCATTAAGAATTTTAAAACAGAGTACAAATGTGAATACAAAGGAGGAGAGGTAAACCCTCTTAACTCTCCTCAAACTCTTAATCAATGTTACAATTTTGTTTCTTCCACCCCTTGTTTCTTCTGCATCTTTCATTTCCTGCACCTTCATCAGTTTCAGACCTTGAATTAAAGCCAATACTTCATCCCACAAAGAATTACCTTGTCCAATTGATACTGAGAAGCTGAGGATTATGTTGCCAGAATGGTCCCTAACAGCTCCTCGCACACCTGAGTCCCTGACAGCTCCTCGCACACCTGAGTCCCTGACAACCCTGGGTTTCGCAAATAACACCAGTCAAAATTAAATTTAAGCTTCACTACAACTGGGGCAATCCAATTTGCTATGCTTTGTTGCCTCCTGATCTGGAAATCATCCATGGCTACCAGCCTCTTAGAATGTCACTTGGGGTAATTCCTTTGAACTCATCATATTAAACCCAGTGAGCAATTCTTATCATGGTGATTTTTTTTGTTTATCAATGACAGAATTTCGTTGAGATTAATTAGGAAGTATTACAATAAAACAGAGGGAGGTAAACTGTCTTAACTCCCCCACAAGCAAAAAAGAACAGAATTAGAAAGAAGCCCTATACACCCCTTGCTTAGCTAACCTGTCAGAAAAAAAATTTGCAGTTCTTTTAACCCAGCTGTACATAATTTCAATATCCTTTGCCAGCCATTTATTTTTTTTCCTCTCATTGTTGTATTTCCACAAACCAGGCTTGTCTTCCTTTAACCAACTTGCTACTATCTCCGAATCTCCTTCAAGAATCAGTCTCCTAATATCCAGTTCTCTTGCTCTTTGCATCCCTTCCAAGGCTGCTGATATCTCAGCCCTGAGAGAGTCACCCTCTCCAATTGGGCCAGAGAAAAGGGCTATAGTATTCCCTTCCTCATTTCTGAAAACCCCTCCAATTCCTGATTGTCCTGGATTCCCAATGCTGCTGCCATCAAAGTTTAATTTTATATACCCAGCAGGAGGGGGGATCCAAGGACTGATGATCCTCTTGACCTGGACCAACTTTGCTATTTCTTTCTTCCCACAAAGACCAACATACAGCAGCCCTAATCTTTTTTTTTTTTATCAATAACACCAGCCCTAATCATGGTGAATTCTATTGCTTCCCCTCTACTTGCTTATACTGATCCATGAAAATTCTGGCATTCCTCTAACTCAACAACCCCCATAAAACTGCTCCTCTTGAACATTGCCACAATATGTCAATATCTTTTGCCTTTGGGTGTGGAGCAGCTCATTATGGAAGATCTAAAAAGGTGTGCAACTACAGATGGTGCCTCCCAATCTCTTCCAAATAAAGAGAGAAAGTGTTTTTTTTTTTGAGAAGTGTTAACCAAGATTCATGTAAGAGAAGGTGAACTGCTGAATTGCTGAAAACCACCCCATCACTTCTGTTGAAAAATCTGACAACCAGTGTTTCTAAAACCAAAAGAATTGCTGGATTGCAGTCCAAAAGTCTGTCTGTCCAGTTCACTCCAGGTCTGCTATAGAATCCACTCCATCTTTATGTTACTACACTAGAACTCCAATTTTCCCTATGACAAAAAAAGTGGCTAAGAAGCATTATTTTCAATTGGGATTTGGACCCTAATTAGGAAGTACAAACAAAGAAACCAATTAAATAAGTCATAGCTTCGGAAGTGCCAACTCATTTAACCCAATAATGCAAGTGTCAACTCAGATCACTTTATCTTTAAATTCAAATAAACAAAGTAGGAAAGGCATTAGAGAAAGTTTACACTATAAACACTACAACTTGATTCTAACTTAAATAAGCAAGAAAATATATTGGACGCTGACTTGATTTAAGATCTTAATTAGAACTAAAAAAATTCCCATACCAGCAGTGTCTGCTCCAGATCATTGGTGTGAACATTTGAAATTGCATGAAGAACATAATCAGATGGAGAGATACCAAGCATCATAACATTTGGAAGAAAATCAGTTGCCTTTCCACCCTCGTTCTCCTCCTGAAAATATATAGTGATGATAGTATCAATCACAATAAAGACAATTTGGACCTAATTGTAGACTTCATATTAGAGATCTGTGAAGAAAAGTTCTATCCATTTGAACAAATTAAAAAGGAGGTGAGGGTCTAATACTTTGCTCAATTTCTTAGGCCATGGATTAGGACTCAATCAAGTCAGTTTTCAACCAAATTTCAATTTCCATAAGTTATTTCATTGGGAAAATTAATAAAATAGATAAGAATTAAGATACCGTATGCTGAGCCATTCGTTTCAACTCTTCCTCTGCCATGTCTAATGCATCAATAATCAAATCAGTTGCAGTAAGGGTCTCCTTTGTTTTCTTCCCTGCTATGCCCACAGCTCCCTCTTCTGGGAGGTCTTCCTTTGGTGCATATCTACTCTCAAATGAGTTGTCAAGGTCAGACTCAAACATCTCTTCCAACCTTTTCTCTTTCTCTTCCTGCGTATCCAAAATGTCTATTAAGTGAAATTGGAAATGATCGCAAATTTCCACCATTAGGTTTCTCATCAAACCATTCAAAAGGAAAATGGTAATTAAGCTACCATTATTTCCAAACAAAATGATAATACGGCCTTACATGTATGCAACTATACCAGATGAAACAACGAAATAAAAGCATGTACCTCAATAAAGAAGGGTTCTTCAGTGCGGTCCCAACGACGTATAGATCTGTCATGGGATCCTGTTACAACAAAATCACCTCGGTTGCTGATTGAGAGACACCAAACTTCAGAATGGTGCCCTTCAAGAGTCAAAAGCAACTCAAATTTATCAGCATCCCAGTATTTAACAAGGCGATCTTTCCCCACACTAAACACATAATGGGTATTACGCACAAATTGCACTGACATAACACTGCCATGGAAACAGTTTATTAGAACTCCATGAGTTGTTTCATTTTGTATGCAAAATCCATCATACTTTAGTGATAAAACACAGTATAAAAAAGAAACCTGTCTGCATGAGCAAAAATAGATTTGTGACAATCCCCAAAATCTAGACCCCAAATCTTCAAATTTTTATCTGCAGAACCACTAACTAATAGATCTCCATCTGATGAAATATCCATGCAAAGCACAGGAAGTTTGTGACCATATAGAGAGAGGAAGTTTTTCAGTGAGTCCATAAATAATACCTGCAAAGGGTTGGTTCAGCATGGTTAGTAGAAGTTCTAGTATTAGGCGATTTTATGACAGTAATTAGCATCTAACAGGACCAAAAAAAGGCATCTAGAAGTTGGAATGAGTATATAGATTCAGATATCCCATAAGGGAATTCTTTATTGAAAAATCTCTTGTTGGCAGAAGAAAGAGGGGGTTGGGATGTGATAAAAATCAAAGTAACTATACCAAAACCAAAAAAAGGATCATCCACTTAAGTGTACCAGGTAAACCTTGTAATTAGGTAGTAGTAACCATTTGAAATGGCATTAAAGATTATTAAAAAGCATTATTCAGGAACTGATACCCGGGACATGGCAGCTATAGTCTTCCTTTTCTTTGCTACCATAGTGAATACTTCCTTATGGAAGAAGGCATATCCTACTCTTAGTATTTTTTCACATACGGCAACTTGTTCCATTTCTTAGGTGAAGGTACCCAGCCATCTGATCTTTTTGGCCTCTTGTAATAATTGCTGATGATTATAATCTGCCATTCTCTTGATTAATCAGAAAGAATGCAACTTACTGCATATAGACCCTTTAGTAATTATTTTTGCTTCTATTGCACAAGCTTGATTTTCATCATTCCCAAAAAGGAAGGAAAAGAATACTATTAAGTTAAAACCCAGTATGGAATTAGAGACAACGATACCAACACACCATAAATAAATATAGAGAAAGTAGCTATATGTCAGTGCAAGCAGTACAAAACATACAAGTGATATTGGAATGTTGGACAAAGAGAATATTCTCTAGAATAAATGAAAATATGAAAGTTTTCTTTGTCATCCAAAAAAAACTCTAACTTCAGAGTAAAAGAAGCTACACTGACCCTTATTGTGCAATCCAACAGGGCAACAGTAATGTATTTGGCATCAGGACTCACTGCAACAACAAGAACATCATCTTCCATTTTCAGAGTCCTTACATTTGCCACAGTGAGGTGCGTAGAATCCTGGAAAGATGAGCATGTTAAACACAAGAAATGAATCAACCAACTTAAAATCCCAAGCTAATGAGATGTTGTAAATGGATGCAAATGTTAGTATGTTACAACAACTTCCAGAGCTCAAACTTCAAAAACAATATTTTGGATGGAAAGAACAAAATGCATGCACATGGTATAGACAGCTGCTAATGACTCCACAAAATATATCCTATAAAAAGATATGAGTTTGTTCTTCAAATTGAGAGAGCATGCATACGCACACAAGAGAGAGAGAGAGAGAGAGAGAGAGTTCATCAAAACCCATTCATTCATTTAGAATTGTCAATTAACTGAGTCTGAGCTAAATTCTAATGGGTTGTATCTAAACCTGAGTTTCAACTAAAAGAGCAAGAACCATGTTAGTGTGGGTTCAGCTTGGTTTGGGATTTGTCCACTCAGATATCATAATAAAGTGATTTACTTATGAATATTAAGACAAGGTTAAATTGATTAATTAATTTGTTTTTTTTATCAGCTAGATCAATCAATTTGTTGTTTTTTTATAAGTGATCAATCAATTTGTTGTTAACCATTTCTTATCAAAAAGAAAAATTGCCGTTAACCATAAGCACTGTCTATTTACCTTGTGGGTAGCCTTTATAGGCTTAAAACCCTTGGTCCTTTAACGGAACTATGCTAAAACTAGACATAAAATGATTCAAACAAATCCTGCACCAAACAGAACTTTGGCAAACCAATCCTGAGAAAATCACCTTACACTTGTAGCAAGGCTAAGCTGGGCCTGTTTACAACCCAAAGTTCCCGATATTAAGACAAGCTGGGTAAACTGAGTTGGGCCTGACTACTACCCAAAGTTCCCGACATTAAGCAAAGCTGGGTAAAGGTCAGCTCAACTTGTTGTCTTGTTCACAACCTTGGTTGTTTACTCATCAATGCCTTAAAGAAAATCTGGAATGTGAAAGTAGCTGGAGCCAGCTAGGGCTATCAATGGTCGGGCAAACCCAATAGACCCAAACCAAACCAACCCAATTAAGTACCTCAAACCCAGACCTGACCCATTAACAGAACTAGAACCGGTAGAGATTTGTAAGTGACTCAAACACAGGTAATCGATGTAGCAGCTTACTTTGAAATCCAAAAAAAAAAATGAAGAATCCACTGATTTATTGCAAAAGCATGATGCTTAAGAGTTTCCAAAAAGAAAGTTCCAACTGAGCTCCCAAATTATCATTGCTATATAGATATCAGGAAACAACAGCACAAGAAAATTCTTTACTAGATGACCAATGTTTTACAAAACAACTGAAGGGTTATAATTATTGTTACTAATAATATCAGCCTTATTACATAAGGTTGTGTATTTCCCAGATTTTTCAGGAAATATGCAAAACAATATAAACCTAACAAGTTAAACTAAAGTGGAAATGAAAAGGATAGAGTATGAGAGACAAGAGAATGCACCTGACCAGGATTCTGCATAATCTGATACTCCCAAAATTTAACATCATGATCTGCACTTCCTGTGACAAAACCACTTCCATCTGGAGTTGTTGCAATTGACCGTATAGAGCCACCGTGAGCTTCTACAACTTCAGTACATGTGCCACTCCCAACATTAATGATTTCCAGTGTCCCACTTTTAGTACCAACAATTGCATACCGGTTACCAGGAACAAATGAACTACAAAGACCATATCCAGAGTCAATAGTACGAAGGCAAGAACCAGTACTTGGATTCCATATCTTTACAGCATTGTGACTAGTTGACAACAAGAGAGTATTATCTGAGCTGAGTGTAACACTTCTAACATCGGAACGGTGCCCTTGAAGCTCAATAGAAAGGATTTTTGTGGATGTGCTGCTTTCAACAGAATACACCTCCAGCAAATTATTGTTCAGAGACAACGCTAGTGTGGCAAGTGAGTTCTTTGAAGCAATCGGGGAGAAAGCAATGGAGCATATCTTCTTGCTAGCACGTAAAGTTTGAAGAAGCTTAAAAACATCAGAAACTACAACAGGGACATTTCCTTCTTCTCCAGCAACAGGATTTCTGTCCCCATTTTCGGTTACCTCCCGAGCCCCTTTTGCTGACTTCTTCTCTTTCCGGTGAATTCTCCTCTTAGCTTTACGCTTGGATTCAGCCTCATCCAAAACCCTGAATATATCTGTTGTCTTCCCAGCCACTTGACATGCAAGTAGACTTCCAGACTTATTAAATCTCAAAGTGGCAACCCTATCCTTGCTTTGCCGCTGGATTTCACCAAATGGCTTCAAGACGTCCCATTTGTTTCCAGCAGCATCATCCCCATTGTTTACAATTTCAGAACCATTTGAGTTCGCGGAAGTTTCTCTATCAACCAACTCATGCTTTATCGTGTAAAACCTAAGTTCGGGATCCGCCGACCCAGTAACCAAATATCTCTCCTCTGGGTCAACATCTATAGACCAAATTTCACTATGATGACCACTAATTATTTGCATACAATGTTGTGTTTCAAGATCCCACACTCTCAAGAACTTGTCCTTGGAAGAACTAACTAGCTTTTTACCGGATTCCAAGAAAACAACATCGGTCACCTACGCACAAACAAAGTTCAACCCAGTATTTCCACAGAACTTAGATTACAACTTGAAACAAAAACACACATTACAGAAGAAAACTGCACACCTGATCCCGGTGCCCACGAAGACGGAAAAGTCCGGCCTCGCCGACGACATCCCACACGATAACATCGTTATCCTTGCTTCCGGAAGCGAGCAGAGAACCAAGCTTATTGTAACGAAGAGCGGTAGTTGCACCTTTATGCCCATTCAGTGTGACCTCACAAGTTCCTTTAATACAATCCCAAATCCTTATACTCCCATCCGCATAACCACTTGCTATCTACAAACAACCCAGTCGTCTTAATTTCGCAACTATTACCAAAGATAGAAATACCATTAGCAATTTGAAAGAAACGAAGAAAAGGATAGATTTTATTACCGAAGAGGAGTCAGAGGAAGCGATGGCAGTGACGGCAAGTGAGGGGCCATGAGATACGGGAGAGGGGGAGAGGGCCTTAGAGCAGATGCCCTGTCTAACATTCCAAATGGCGAGGTTTTCAAGGGCAGGGGTGAGGAGGAATTTTCCGGAGCTGTCGAAGCTGATGTTGGATTCAATTGAAACTACCACCCCAAACACTGCGACCGGCTCGTATCTGAGGTAGGACTTAACCATCTTCGCCGCTGCTTCTGCGACGGGAGAGCAGCGGCTCGCGGTGTGGCAGAAACCTCGCTAGTTCGTCGGCGTCACTGCGGTGGTTGCTCGAAGCCGCTTGTTATGTGCTTGCTAGTTGCTATGTTCCAACTGCGAAGCCCTACTTCTGTGTTTCCCGCCGCCTTGGTGCTTCTTTTGACAGCAGGAGAAAGAAAGAGAACGTTGATGAGCTAATGTTGTTGGGTAAAAGTACGGCCCACCTTCCTTACGTTATTGGGCCCAGGATTGGCCCAAATAGTAGAAACACATAAAACCCCAAACGCATCTCCACTTCGGCCCAGAAATGTGTGCTTCAATTTTGTTCAGAGCCCAGACTGAGGCCCATTACTTGTGGGAGTCAAATTAGCAAGGAATAAGACCTGAACCAAGTAGAAAAAAAGAAAACAGTATGAATTGATTGAGAGTTGATACCCAGTTAGTTACCCATCACCGAACTGCTGCAAGTTCTTGTGCAATAAGGCACTGGCCAGATATTGCAATGGTAATTAGGGCTGTCAATGGGTTGGATTTATCTGACGGATCCGAATCAATCGAACTATTTATGATGGTTCTGGTTCTACAATTTTATCATGATTAATAATTGGATTGGTTCTAGTTCTTGTCAGTTTCAAACCGATTCAGACCCAGAACTAATTATTTTATTAAATATATATATAAGATTTTTTTTTCTATAATTTTTATCGTACTATATGTTTGAAATGATAAATTTAAAAAATATATATAAGATGATATTAGTTAAAAATGTTCAATTTATTAACATATAAATAATTTAGCATCTTTATCATTTTTATTAAGATTACATTATCAAAATTTAAATTTAAGTTATTATTTAAACAAACAAATATAGTTTTCAAGCCAGGCCGCTGTTTACATCCCCACCACGCCAGCCTGCAGTTAGTATGATGTTTTTGTAACCCTATGCCCAAGATAAAACCTTTAAGTTTCATGACAATAATTTTTTTCTGATTTCATTGGAGGGCTACACATCCCCCAACCCATAACCCCCCAACGACCCAGGTGTAGGCAAAACCGCAGGATTCGATACCAAGTTTTTGCTACGATCAGCAGGAGACCTTACCAACCAGCTGGTTGTAGGAGTGCAAATGGATCGGATTATGATCAAATCCGATCTTATTCAGTTGAATTCGGTTCATCCATTATCGGATCTTCAAATCATATCCTATGATCTAATCAGAAATCGGATTGGATTCGGATCCCCCCCCATCTGATCTGATGTGTTATATATTTATAAATATAAATATATATGTTATTTATTTATTTATAAATACATTATTTATATTACATTTTTATAAATTTATTATATTATTTATTTTTTATAAAAACATGTATATATGATGAAAAATTTTGAAAAATACTTACATTTTTTGTTTTTTTCTGTATTTAAATTGGTATATTTTATTTTTCCTTTTAACAATTATTACTTTTTAAAGCAAACAAGTTGAATCAAGTCAGATCCGAAGATCCAATAAGATCCAAATTCAGATCGAGTTCTATTAGATCCAATCGGATATTCAGATTGGATCAGATTTGAGTATACCCTGATTTGAATCCAATCCGATCCGCTTGCATCCCTAGCTTAGCTGGTTGGCACCTTGCTGACAATCAATCAGGTATTCTACCTTTTAGTCAGGACTGGGGTGGCTTGCCCTTTAAGAATTGAAGGGGTTAAATTAAAGAGCTAGTTACAATTCCAAAATGACTTTGGACTCCACTAATAAAAAATGATATAAGTGTAATTTAACAATGGATATAGCACTAAATAGATCTAAAAGGTAAAATACGATTCATGTAACCCAAGCCAACCCCATATAGATGGGAGAAGGCTTAGATGATGATAATTCAAAAGGACTAGGGTTTGCATGTTGATGTATATTATTGAAAGAGCTAGAAGGTCTGCCAACTATCCACATTCATTTAACAAATCATATTGCTTATATATTTTCAGTAAATTATAGATTACTATCCTGTACTTTAGGGGTAGTGGCAATTACATCCAAACTTTCATTTGCGACCAAGACCCTCCCCCCTCTGTTATGTTGAGTGACAGAAGAAGTTAATTTATCAAAATACCCACTAAGAAACTTTTATAAAATGAAAATTGCAACAAAAAATACAAGAAACTTTTATGAAAACTCAGAATTGCAACAAACACAACTTGCAATTGATATCAACCCTGTAACGAATGGAAATTAAAAAAAAACACTAAAAAATCATTACAAAAAGGGTAATTTGGGGATTTCAAAAAAAAAATTAAACAATCACATAGATATCTTTTGCGAATTAACCAACAAAACCCTAATAAAGAGGGTCTTTGTTGGAATCCGAAAGTTCAGGAGGTAATTGCCATTACCCCAAATTACAGGACAGTAGTTTATAATTTACCTTGCATTTTTTTAAACAAGGTGATATGAACACACGCAACTTTCAATTTAAATGTTGTGTTTAAGAGTGATAATAGCACAATTTGCTCATTAAAGTTGGGAAAACCTATGCTATGGGAAATACATAATACCGGAAGGGCTTTGACTAATCAAAACCCTCATGTGAATTTTTATAAATACCACCTGATTGGTTACCATTAAGCTGATCCCCCCCTCCCCCCCACCAAAAAAAAAAAAAAATCAATTTAGGTTGGGTTGGGTTGAAAGAGGGCTTAGCCTTGGGGATGAAATATACCAACCCCATTTGGCTAAGTTATATAGGGCTCCAAAGCATTGATGGAATCAACAGTGTGATGCCTCTTATTTAAAAGGAGAAAAAGTGAAGAAAGATGAACCAACCTAATCTCTATATTTATCGGATTAGGACTGAGATTTTACAGCTTGAATTGGGTTAAGGTTGGCTACAGCTTGAATTGGGTTAAGGTTGGCTACATCGGATCAAAAGGCCAAGTTCAGTTAGGATTAGAATTAGGTTCACTGTCTTTGGTAGGGCTAATCTCCACCTCAATCTGACCTAACCCAACACAAGTTATGCTTCTAACTAAAACTCATCTCAGTAAGTTGGTTAGGTTGGTTCAACTAGAGGTCTTTGATAATGGCTGAAGTTGTTGAATTAAAGGACTCATAGCTTCATCTTTTAGTGAATAAAGGCCATGTCCCAATGTTGGTCCCAGCCATTTATTTGTTTTGGGAGGGATACACTGGATTGTACTTTTGTGGTTTACCTAATGTCAGCATATGAAATAATTAAGTAATAAAATATTCAAGGGTATAATAATTTACAGAATTCCAGCTTCAGCCTTAAGTTGTATTTGGTACTATTGGTTTTTCTACCTGAAACGTTTTAGGTTAATTAATATAAATTGGCATACAAATGTATATGTGAGAGGCTGTTTCTAAAAACATCGAGTTGGTGTTTTATATTTTAGGGGGATGAAGTCTAGTCATTCTTACCAAAGTAATTCTCATATGTAACGTGATAACATATATCTCTCATCAATTTGTATTGATCAACAAACTTACAGCCTTCATAAAAAACTTGTTTACTGAAAAAAAGCAATAAAATTTCCATTTCAGCTCTTACTAGGGTGATCATAAGCCAGACTGGGATTTGCACCTCTGAAAAAAGGCTATAACCAATCTGGACCTGAAATACAAACCCAGCCCAGTCTGGGCTTTGGGCCTATGACATTGAATACAGGGCTAGGATTGAAGTATTGGACCCAGATGGGTTGAATTGGACCGGGGAACTAGTGTCTATCATTGTATTATAGTAGAAGTAGAACAATAGTAAAAGCTGTATAGAAACAGTAAAAAGGAAAAAAAGAAAGGAAGGAAGAAAGAAAGTATCCACAAGGTGATGTGAATATGGCATCAAAGCAATATAGGGTTTAGAAATTGGAATGCACAGTATACTGATATAGGGTTCCTTGAATAACAAATTCCTCCGAGCCAGCACATGAACGCATAAGCTACTAAAAACAACATTCAGTCTCAAGCTTCTACTAGACTAGTAGGTGTGTGCTTAAAATGTTCTCCATTGACTATGAGAGGCATCTGGATTAGTGGTTAGTATAGCTGTGATGCCCAATTACTTACTTTTTTTTATGCTCCTTTATGGGCACAGTAAGGGGGGTTTGACATTGATCAGATCTCCTGCAACCACAGGAAGCACCTATAGCCACCCTAGAGCATCTTTCTTTTTCTTAACTGCAGCGGAAAATGGTTCAGCATGGTGTTTAAAAACGAACCGGTCAGGGGTCCGGTTACCGGTTCAAATGGTCCGACTGTTTGATTCAAATGGCCGGTCTGTTCTGACAAAAAAATAAAAAGAAATTAAAAATTTTGAAAACGGTTAACCGGCCAGTTCAGCGGTTTGCTGATCAAATCAACGGTTTTGGAGGAGAACGGAACCGGTCACATGACCAGTTTCTGGTTTTTTCAGTCCGATCATCTGGTCCAGTCCGGTTATGAAAACAGTGTGGTTCAGTACGATTCATTAGAAAAAAAAATACATAAATAGATTGTATTTGTTAACCACAATATCAGCTCAAGTGAGTCGTTTTCTTACGCTTATAATGCCCAAAATTGATCTCCATGTTATTAATTACTTTGTGAGAATTGCCCAAACCCAAAGCCCAGTTCATATCTCTGATGAGATTGGGCTGAGCTTCAATGGGCTCTTATTGCGATTTTGTGTGTCAAGTGTTAGGCAAGTTGTGAAAACATCTATCATAATCGATTTTGCATTATCAGTTGATTAGAGTGAATCCATGAAATGTATGGGGTTGAATAGAAATTTGGTAAAGATTAGGAAAAATATTTTATATGAAAGCATCGAGGAACGAGGATTACAAAAGTTATCAAGAAAAAAGTCATGTCATCAATGTTCAAAATATAAGAAACACAAAGAATGTGGAAAAAGTGATTTCAAGAGATTTATTAGGATTCATTTTGGATATACATAGATCAGTTCGCATCTGCACGCCACAAATGCCCCACGACATATCCCAACTGTGTATTGAGAACATCTTCCACTGAGCATATAATGATATTATCCTCTAATTTCAGGCATAAACAAAAGTAATCTGGTAATAGTACACTGTTAAATGTATATGGACTCATCTAAGATGGTTCAACTTAATAGTACACATTGCAGCCATGTTGTCTAT